TAATGCTACTTCGTGCAAGTAGACTACCTTCTCCATCAACCACTTTGGGGTTGATTATCGTTTAACCAAGCAACTTCGTAAACACATTGCTCACTATCACATGGATATGATATAAGTATCACAATGACTTGATCATCAATTGAGCAACACCACGAACAATGCCAATGTCATTACTTCAAAGGTTTACATGAATATCAAGTGCCAACTCAACTTGACAGAATGCAACATAAATGCCACACTCTACCGATAGAGATTTACAACACCCAACACCACTAACTTTTTGTTCACAACACAGACAAGCTCATGCCACTCGCTATCCAATCAAACTCAAAACTTAACCCAACACCAAGCTACTCAGGGAACAATAGCTAGGTTCCCCGGAAAAGAATTGAGCATTGTAACCCAAGTCTTCCAATAGCGAGCTTAGACAAAATGGTTTAACGCTTCACCGCTATCCATCCCATAACTCACCACTTGTAAGACTATCATAATCAACATGCATCAAGATAGGGACTCTTGATTGCATAATGTGAATACGAACAATGAGTCAACACCTCGTTGCAAATCATCTCTCCAAGAAGAAAAGATGATTTACATGTTTGACCCTTCGTCCCTGACGACTCTCTTTTCGGTTTCATCTTTGACTAAACCTCAAGCTTGCTTTCGCACTGCCTTCAGTCCAATCCAAGAAAATTTATGAGAGAGCACGGCAATGATTACTTGAATCAATAGACTCATCCCTATAGTCTTAGTTGATCCACTTGTAACCATGCCTAGGAAGGATCCACTAGTGCCGTGCTAAACAGCTACGGACTAGCCTATTTGCCACTCATAGCAAACCCAGGGAAGGTTTACTTTCACCCATGGTACATGGAACAACTCATAGAACCACCAATAGGCTAACATTAATCCTGCCAACTCAAAGCATATCCTTGAGTTGCTAATGCGCCTCACTCACGAGTCCAAGCGTAAACTCGTGCTAATGGAGCATCTCAAATCCATCCTATGAGCCCAAGAGCAAGCTCACATTATTAGGTACAAAAGGTAACCAAAACCATACCCAAGGAACAAATGTGAACCCTTTGCACCAAACGTGTACCCACTCGGATCATCGTTTTCATCTCTGCGTATGCAACGAGACTAGTTGCCCAATCTCATTGTATAGTACTCGCTGAGACTCATCCTTTGATACCAAATGTAGCGCACGTGGTTTTGACCCTTTATCCTATGGTGATTTACCATAGGATAACACCACGAAGCAGAACCTAAACCCTCTTTGTGCCACGTGACGGATGCCACGTGTCACATGCCACGTGTCCATGCCACGTGTCCATAAGAACCCGAGGTTCAGGGCCTTGGGCCACTGAACAAAGGAACGGTGCCAAACTCCCAAGCATGGAGCCAAGGAGTGACGGAACCGAACCACGGAGCAACTCCTGAGCATAAAGCCCAAGGAGCGAAGGGACAGGAGCCCGGAGCGACTTGGAACAGTCCTGGAGCAACCAGCATCCCAATGCCAGGACCAGCACACAAAATGGAGCCAAACGGAGTCTGGCGCTATTTCGGCATACCGGTGGCCTAACGTGAGGATATGGGTACTCCACCAACTAGCATGGAATGGAACTTGGGCTTAGACCCGAGCCGGACGCAAAACAGAGACAGGCACGCAAGCGGGAGCTAGACTATGCCTCAGGTTGGTCGGCCATGCCTGACCTACCCACTATCCCTACTATACATTTGGAACCCCCCACAGCCCCCCCCCCCTTGAGGAACACACGCTTTGGGCTTTCACCCCAAGCCTCCCTTAGTATCAGGAGTTAGTCTCTGGGACAAGCTCGAAACTTACTAAATATGGAATGTCCCTAGATTGCGAATTTAGACACAGGACGAACACCAGGCCAATCTCTACATTCCGTAGATATGCCAAATGAGCAAATCTGGACACTTTCCATAAATAGCATTTGGGACCGAAATGAGACTAACACAAAGGGCATGATAGCGAGGGTGTTTGGCAGGCACGGTAAGCTATCATGTAGCGATATCGAGGGACCAATCTCAATACGTGAGGGTTCTTGTCAAGCCAGTGCAAGACAGAGCAAAAGAGAACTAACAAGCCGGGCCAAGTATGCTCAGCTAAATAGACACTTAGGAATTCCTTCCTTATGCTCATCCGGCCAAGTACAGATGCAAAGTCCAGTTTACTAACACTTGAACAAGAGGGGCTGATAAAGGGAACCAGCAATACCGACCTCCTGCCATCGTGGCAGTAAGGTAAGAGTGTCCATAAGGACTAATCGACAGGTAACTTTCGATACCCGAAGTCACATTCGCGACAGCAGTGTTGGTCGGATAGACGAGGTAAGCTAGCAAATTGGAAAGGAAAAATTTGTGGCTTACAGCTAATAGTGGCTGTCTCACAACAGGGGAGGGTGCTAGGACTATGAATTCAATGTGGTGTAGCAAATTTACTATCAATACACCAGAGTTTTATAAGTGACTCCATATTAAAAAGCCTACGGGGAATTAGCTCTAGGCACCTCTGCAAAACACACTTTGGACAAGTATTACCCAATACAGCTCTTATCACATCTATATTGACTACCACTCCAAACTCACACAAACACCAAATATTATCCCAAAAATGATAGATAATAATCACTATAAAGTGATCAAACCCATAGGACATATCATTCTCAATTTGTCCTTAGCATAAAAAACCCCCCATATCATTTTTTTTTTGAATTGTAGAAGAATCTGCAAAAGAAGCACTTCAACCTCGACAAGAGTCTTCATTGAGTACACAACCTATGTTCTTAAGATAAGGTGCAATGTGCAGCAATCCACACCAATAGATTCAGTGAGATCCTTTATTTTGTAACTTCCAATCAATTTAGCATTTACCCACCTTTGCTGACAAACTACCCTTTCATAGAATGGGGGATCAATTTTGCAATGGAAGAGCTTGTTTTATGCACTATTAATTGCCAGCAGCTTGACATAGTCCCATAGAAAGTACGGAAAAGCCACTAGAGTGTAAAATTGTTGCCATGGTTCTCACTTACAATTCTGTGCATGGCTTGTGCTAATTAAAAGTGTTGCTCACACCATAAAAAACACATTGAAAATAAACTCCTGCATAATGGTGACATGTAAAATAGCTCTTGGTATGAAAAGTATGACCATGCCCAAAAAGATAGTTTCAAAGTTTTACAAAAACAATTATTCATTCTCTGCTAAGCCTACCTAAATTTGGGCTAAGCCCACCTTTGGAAAATCCAGGTTCAGCATACCACATCACTTTTTTGTTGCCATATTTTTTAGTATAAAAATTACTTCAAACTCCCTAATTATATTTATTTTTTACCAAATCTAATAAGAAGGATATCTTTTCAAGGGAAGCTGGATTCTCTACTAGTAATATATTCTTTATACAAAATGAAATATTCATTAAAAATAATTACAGTAGAATTAAGAATATCATGTCAAGCTGGAAATCTTCCTTTGTACTGTACCTCCCCACTCCCCAATGTCCCTGTACTGAAGAAAATTGTGCCCTTTTGAGAGCTTGCTCCGATACTCCCTTTTCAAAGACCTCCCTGCAGTGATCATTTCCAGGAGTTGAAGGCACTCTTTCCTTCGTCCACAAGGGCTTGATCTCAGCCAGAGCACATCAGTAGGACCCCCTAAAGCAGGCCTTTTCCCTAGAGTGTGGGCGGCCATCTCGTTGTAGAGCGCGCTGCTGAGGGACACCGTGAAGGGGTTCCACATCTGCTTCATCTCTGCCTCGACTTCCCTGCTCCTCTCCTTCATATCTGCACCGTTAACCATGAGACAAGCCGTGGAGAAAGCTTGGCGGCTACCCTGTCCAGCAGTAGCATCCTCCTGCCAACGTAGCTGTGTGTCTCTTATGTAATCCTTGATGCCAGGACAGTAATACTCCCATGGCGGTGTCAACCCTTTCATGAAAAACTCAAACGGTTCTTCGTCTCCGAGATCGCCAACCACAGCTACACTCGCTCTACCCTGTATCCCATCCATATCTGGAAAGAATCCTTAGAGCTGGCTAACACCACAACTTTTTCTGCTTCGTGATCACACCAACCACTCTTGAAGTGTCGCCAGATTTTCTTGCTCTTCATGACTAACGCTCCACTTGTGAAGCTTGTTCGCCTCATCACTGCATAAACCCAGTGACATACGCTTTGACCGTCCTGAACAAGGCTTCCAGTCGCTCAAGTAGTCTTGTCATATCGTCCGGACTAGCAGACTTGACAGCCTCTTTCAAAGCTTGTCCAGTATCAGGAATCTCAACACCCTCACTGATGTAATGCACGGCCGATTTGGCCTTGAGCTCCTTGCTGAAGCTAGCTGCAGTGTAACTTTCCCCCCTGCATATTGATGAGGATCGGAAATCACTTGCATCGTTTCCTTAAACTCGGACAGCAAGGCCGACTTGCCAGAGTTCAGAGGTCCCGTAAGCACTAGCAACTCACCGATTCTTATTGTTGCACTTGTCTCAAGACGAAGAAGAATGGGTGCCTCCCACAACGGTTTAAACCTTAAAAGTAAAACCTTTAAACCATACTGGTTTGCCCGGCCCAGCAAGCCAGTGCCACCATACCTAGCTCCTAGCTCAATCCCTCGCTTCCCCTGGATCCTGTTGCGAATCCCACCCTGCCACTCTGCATCCTCCCGACGTGCATCAATCTAATTCAAGCATCATTTAGAGCAGAAATATTTAGTGTGTAGCCCACTGGTGCGAGAAGGAACAAGCCCAGACTTCCAACAACAACAGATTTACGGCCTTTCCTCTGCCATGTTTCTGACAGCCATCTCAAACCGAACAAGATCGTCCATTTGCGTTATCAGCTTGTGCACGAAAATCTTCTTGATAGCCCCGGGTGTAAAGGGGCCGGAATATGCTCATTTCCAAGAGACTCAATCTGGTATACTACTTTGATTTGCCGGGTTAGTGAACCGTACATTCTTTTTGTTTTTGTGCCATGTGGCTCAGTGCGCAGACGCGTACGGCGATGGCGTGATGGACCGAGTTTTTTGTGCTTGTTCCGCGGTGTCGGTCGGTGCTTCTTGAAGGTTTGATCTTCCTTGTTGGTGGCTGGCGGGGAAGGGGGAGGGTCAAGGCGGCGGCAGCAGCAGCGGCAGCGACGGCTGATGCTCGAGGGGGGCTGGGCCCCTTTTCACGCGTAAGTCACCAGATCTATCCGTTTTCGTGAGTGCCGCACACGCAACTCAAGCAAGAACAAGTGATCCGGGGTTCCAAGCCTCTGAGTGAGTGAGTGACAGAAGGAGAGATCCCGGAAGCAAGAAGCGATCACAGGGTTTGTAGGGTGTATTCCTAGAATGTATCTCGAGGAGGGCTTGATCCATCCCGAGCAATGCCTGGATGAGCAACGGCGGCAGCAGGAGGGGCAGGAGGAGGAGGAGGAGGAGTTTGATCACTTTGAGCGGCTGCCCGACTCGTTGCTGCTCACCATCTTCAACAAGATAGCCGAGATCAAGGCGCTGGGCAAGTGCTGCGCCGTGTCCAAGCGCTTCAACAGCGTGGCGTCTCAGGTGGACAATGTGGTGGTGCGAGTCGACTGCGTGCTATCGGGCGAGGACACGAACTGCAGCAGCAAGGCCAGCAAGGGGCTTGTGTCCAGCCTCGTCAAGCTCGTCTATGGCAGCCTCCTCAGGCCCTTCCAGGTACTGCAACAGATGCTCTCCTTCAGCGCTGGCGGGAAGAAGAGCTCAGGCTCCCGGCCGGTCTCCGCCACGGAGGTGTCTCACCACTCTCCGGGCGAGGTGCTGCGCAACTTCAAGGAGATCCAGACGCTACGGATTGAGCTCCCGGGTGGGGAGCTGGGGCTGGAGGAGGACATTGTGTTGAAGTGGAAGGCGGAGTTTGGGAGCACGGTGCAGAGCTGCGTCATGCTGGGTGCTTACAGGGAGAAGGTGGCGGACGTGAAACCGCTTGAAAGCAAGGAGGCGGCCGAGGAAGTCAAAGTTGGCGATTGCGATCAACACGAGGGGGAGCGGGAGCAGCAGCAGCAGCAGCAGCAGGACGACAATGGGAGCATTCCGGAGACGTTCTACACGGATGGAAGCCTAAAGTCGAGAGTGGTGTGGACAATCAGCTCGCTCATCGCGGCGTCGGCCCGGCATTTCTTGCTGCAGCAGATCATAGCGGAGCACCCGACGCTGGAGAGGCTGCTGCTGACGGACGCAGATGGGCAGGGAACGCTGTGCATGAGCAAGGAGCAGCTGTGCGAGTTTCGCGACAGTCCGATCGCCGCCGCCTCCGTCTCTTCCAACCGGACTCAGGTCCCCGCCCTCAACATGAAGCTGTGGTATGCTCCCCTGCTGCCGCTGCCCGACGGCACCTTGCTCCGCGGCGCCACCCTCGTCGCCATCCGGCCCAGCGACACGCCGGCGCCCAAGGACCTCCAAAGCCTCGTCGCCGGCGCGTTCCAGGAGCCGTATGCCAGTGCCGCCAGCCTGCTGGTCAAGCGCCGGACTTATCTCCTGGAGATGAACGCGTTCTAGCGCTTTTTCTAGAAAGCAGGGAATGCCATTGGCTAGGTGTTTGATCGAGCATTGAAAGCTCTACAGTCTCTGCGGACCTCGCCCTGGCTGCCGGTCTTGATGCCGGTGTAGCCCAGCTTCACCATGGCTTGCATGAAGGCGAAGAAGAAGTCTTCCTGGCTGGCGGCCAAGCTGGCCACCACGGGCGACGTCCGCTTGTCCAGGGCCAGCGCCTGATCCGACACGAGCAGGCCCCTGTTGTTTTGCAGGTTGCGGTAGTAGGAGTTGTCAAAGGCGAAGGGCGTGGTGGCGTCGAATCCCCGCACCGTGTTGGGGCTCCCGCCAACTTGCGGGCACGAAGCCTTGAGCGACGCAGCTAGCGTCGGATCCAGCGACGGGTCCGTCTTTGCGGCGCTGCTGAAGTTGTAGAGCCTCTTGGAGAACTGGTTGCAATGGGAGAATCCAATTGTGTGTGCTCCTGCGAGGAACTATATCACTATCTAGTGTCGCTACTTGTGTAATACTATGCACACCTGACAGTACAACCAGATCTTCGATGCTCAAGTTGACAGTGGACAGCAGGGTGACAAGTTGCGACACATTGAAACTGGAGGCCGGGAGGCGGCCCTCGACGCGGGCAGCGCGAGAGATGAGGCCGTCCCGCCGACCTTTGGGGACCGCCCACCTGGGGCCGCCACTCTGTCGTATGAAGCGCAAATATTTGGATCGTGAGAGAGAGCATCAATCGTCACTTACAAACACAACCACGTCCCTGGCGGCCATTGCGAGGATGTCGGCGCACGAGACAACCGCGGGGCATGCAGCCTCCACTGCCTTCTTGGCCTCCACAATTGCGTCGAATCCATTCTGCGGGAAGCTCAAATTGTCGGGCGCGTCTCGCTCCGCGACGTTGGTGGGCGTGGAGGAGATGAGAATGGATGCATCACAGCCCTGCCAGTGCCAACCAAGATCATACAATGTCAAGCTAAGCTACACTGCCAGTGGATGGATCGAATTCATCCATAATGCGCAAGACGGCCTCACGTACTCACCTCCACCAGGCAATCGTGGAAGTAGAGGCGCAACACCGCGGGTGCAACCACATTGTCCCTTTTGGAGAGGGCGAGAGTGACGTTAGCGACGATGGCATCCACATTCGGACAAGAGGTCTTGTAGAAGTCGAAGGTAAGCTGGCCAGTTGCTCCATGTAGTAGACAAGACAATGAGACAATGACGATCCAAGAGACAACGTTAGCATGGATGGGATGAACCATCGCTCGATCGTAAACCGTAGAATCACAATGCAACGCGGGGAAATCGTCGTCTCGTTGTCGCCAGTCGTCGTCGTCGTCGTCGTCGTCGTCCTCGATGGGTGATAGATGAGAGTGGCCGATTCGTGATCGATATCAACCAATCTTCTCCGGCTCTTGGACAACAATCATTCCTGGCGACAAGGTTGTAAAATTCATGGAGGCTTCGTTCGTTCGTAAGACTCATCTCTTTTGAGCCAGCCACTGTCCCGTCTCGTGACTGTACAAGACCACATGTGACTTCGCTGACATCGTAGGGCAACCAGGCGTTCGATTCCAGCGAGGGGCTGCAACAAGGTTTAGGGTTTATAGGCCATGTCGAAGGCGCTGCTGCCGCTGCTGGCATGGGTCGCGATCCTGGTGCTGGCTGCAGCAGCGGCGCATCGACTCCAGAAGAATGTGATCGTGGAGCTCCACGCCAAATGGAGTGGGACGTCGCTGCTCTTGGAAATGGGGTAAGTTGCCTGAGCGCCATACGCTAGAAATTCCACTCTCCCGTGTGTGCTTGCAGTGAGCTTGTGGCCAAGGAGAGGGATGACAATTTCTGGAAATTCATTGACTCGTGGATCGAGCGGGAGGAGAAGGAGAGCCAGTCCTCCTCCAACAGCACCAGCAATTGCCTAGAGCAGATATTATCGCAAGGCTCCGCTTTGTTGGACGGTCACCTCGCGTCCCTCTTAGATTTGTCCCTCTCGCTGCGCAGCGCGTCACCAAAGCTTGTTGTCTACGCACAGCTCGCGCTGGAATCACTGTCAGCCTTCAACCTTCATTCCGAAGGCAGTGATCGGCCACGACCTCCACGGCAAAAGTGCTGCTGGGTGGACGTGGGATCCAGTCTTCTGCTAGAAGAGTCCGAGCTCCTCCACTGGCTGAAATCCTTGTCGGGCGAGTGAGTTACCGTCTCGTTTTTTTTTTTTCTCCTCGCTTCTCACAATGTTTTGAAACAGGCCTTTGCTGGATAAAACTTTGGACTTGTTTGAGTTTGATCACGTCTATCCACAATCCGCATCTTTTGCCTACACTGCCATCCTATACGGCGCACTTGGTACGCCCTGCTTCAAAAGGTTCCACTCAATCCTCAGCGACTCCTCAAAAACTCAGGTACGCGAGGCATACTGCGGAGTGCTTTTAACTGCTGTTTCTTTCAGGACCTTGTGCGGTATGTGGCACGGCCATTCCTTCCAGATGGTTGCGAAGAGTCGTGCTCAGCTTGTAGTAAAGCAGGGGTCGGCGAGCCACTCAACCTTGCGGGCTACGGTGTTGAGCTTGCGCTGAAAAACATGGAGTACAAAGCTATTGACGACAGCGAAGTCAAAGCTGGTACCATGTGTCCGTGTTGTCTTCCCTTACCAAGTTTCCTTTATATGCCTCACCAGGTGGATCATCTGAAGATACCTCTACTGAGGATCCCCTGGCTCAAGAAGTCAGAGGGTTTATCTTCTCGAGGCTTCTTGTACGGACATTGCATTTTCCTTTGTTGTCCTGTTCTTATTGCATGCTCTCAGGAACGTAAGCCTCATCTTGAAGGGGAGCTCATGACGTTCAGAGACCAGTTACTGTCGTCCGAGATATCGGACAGCATGAATGTCTGGGAAGTAAAAGGTAAAGGGGAAAATCATTTACTCTTCTAGGTACTTACTCACGTTTCTAATAGATCTTGGATACCAAGCAGCTCAGAGAATCGTAGGAGCATCTGAACCATTACGGCTGATGCAGGAGTTGAACCAAAACTTTCCAAATCTCGTGTCGTCATTGTCTCGCATGAAGGTAACTATCTTCGTACATTCCTCGTCAGACTGGGCTTGATACACCTTTCTTTTCATTTATTTACCTAGATCAATGAGACCATCAAGCAGGAAATAGTTTCCAATCAGCAAATGATTTCACCAGGAAGAAATCTTCTTGCTATCAATGGGGCTTTAGTCAATCCTGAGAGCCTTGATCTTTTCACGTTAGCCTACTACTCTATGTAGATAACGGTCTGCTACACTGACCTTCTGTTTTTGCAGGTTGATTCATATGGTGCATCAAGAGCTGTCCTTTGCTGATAAGATACTGAAAATGAAGGTCAGTATGACGCTCTGGAGGATAAAAACGTAACTATTTATCTCTACAGGTTCCCTCTAGTTCTGTGTCGAAGCTTTTGAGGCTACCTGAGCCGGTTGAATCAGTTGCAGTGAGAGTGGATTTTCGCTCCAAGGATTTTGTGCACTATCTGAATGATCTTGAAGAAGATAATAAATACAAAAGGTGGAGGACAAATCTGAACGAGGTGCTATCGGGTTCTTCTTTTTCTTTTCCATTGATATCTTGCCTAAATTCTCTGTATACTTTGATGCAGCTATTAATGCCAGCTTTCCCAGGACAGCTTCGCTACATCCGAAAGAACTTATACCATGCAGTCTACGTACTAGACCCGGTTTCCGTGAGAGGACTCAGAGTAAGCCGCTTGTGAGACTCTGAACCTTGCCCACCAATATTGATGTTCGCAGACGGTGGAGATGATTCTGCACTATTATCATAACAACTTGCCAATGCGTTTTGGTCTCATCCTGCTCTCGCCGGCGGATTTGCATTCATTAGACGAAGAAAATGGAGCTGGTGAGAAGGACGATTTATCCAGCTTGGTGAGCCGTTTTATTTTTCTTTCGGTTTCACCTGTTTCAATTTGAAATTCCAGATGATACGTCTTTTTCTTTACGTTAAGAATACGGGAGGAGTTTATAACGCTTTTGAGTTTCTAAAAAACGTGAGAGTTTCGTGGAATTTCCAGTATGATGAGATTTCTTTGCGTTGTAGGTTTTGGACTCTTATTCCGAAGATTCTGAAGAAAACTATACCGAGGCTAGTCATATTGAGGAAGGATTTGTTAAATCACTCGGGTAAGCTTTTCTTTGTTGCTGTCAATTTGAACTTTGATGCTAATGCTTGCAAAATTCATAGGACTATGACGAAAACCAGTGCTATGGAGGTCTTTTCCAAATTGAAGAATGGTGAAGATTATAGAAAGGAAGCATTTGAAAGCAGCCAGTTTGTATACAGGCTTGGTTTATCCGAAGTATATCCATGCCTCCTCATGAACGGTCTCGTTTATGGAGAAAGTCAGGTATACTGTCATTTATCAAATCTTAGGGACATTCCTAACGTGTCACTTGAACTTAGCCACAATTTTCAGTGATGGCGGCCATGAATGAAGAACTCCCTAAAATACAAGAAATGGTCTACTTCGGTCAAATACATTCACGGACAGATGTTTTAGACAAGTTTTTAGCAGAGGAAGGCCTTAAAAGATATAACCCAAAGGTACTAAGTGTGCTCTTGAGCTTTACAATTAACTTGTGCTGCATGCAGATAGCTGGCACTGGGAAAGATTCGAAGTATGTGTCAGTTGCACCGGTGGTTTCTGAGAGCCATCCAGTTGTATGTAGTCTCCAGTATCTGCACACACCTGGAAGTACGTATCCACTATTCACGTGATGTGCTGAAGCGATTGCATGCTTGCAGCCGAAGATGACGTAAAACCTGTAACTCACTGGCTAGTTGTTGACTTGACGAAGGAATCCGGTATACGTCTGTTGACGCAAGGTGTCCGCTACATTGTAAGTTGTACTTGATGAAGCGAAGAGTGTATTATTACCTTTTCTTCAATTTCAGATGGAAGGTACAGACAGAGGGCGTCTTGCTATTCTACATAACATGAAGGATGCGGACAATACTCCAGAATCATCAAAAGAGTTACTGCTTCCCCGACTTGTTAGTCACGTTATGCAGGCATCAAGGTACTAAACACTAAGGTTTTGTTATCACTTTTCTCTTACGGTTTTCTTTTCTTCAGTCGCCGAGCAAAATACCTGCGGTTGTTACATTCTTTTTTAACGCATTACAAGTCAGGCACTTTTGAGGAGGTTCTGCATTTGTATTTGAGTACTGCTAAAGAGATGGGTCTGGACATTGCGAAGGAGGCAATCTTGGAGTCCTCTACATTATCTACTCAGCTTTTACAGTTCCATAAAGTAATGGATTTTGTTTCTATATCGATGCTGACCAATAGTCTACAGGAAAAGAAGTTTGTAGCGGAATTGTTTGGCATCAGGCCAGGTATTAACGCCGTAGCTACAAATGGGAGGGTAAGTTTTTATTTTTCTCGAAACTCATGAGTTACCACCGTCTGTTTAGATTTCTAGTCAAGACTCAAAACCTTTTATTGCGGAAGACCTCATGCTTTTAGAATCACTAATGTATCGGCGAAGGATAAAGGACGTACAGGAAATTATTGAAGATGTGAAGTGGGAAGGTTTAGAACCTGATGACATTACAAGGTATGTCGACCTAATTAATGTGGCTTTCCTCTCTTACTTTGTTGTGCTTAGTGCGTACCTAAGCACCGTCATCATGGCAGTCTCATCCACAATGGCGTCGCGCACTCGGAGCTCCGAGACGGCACAGTTTGAGCTCCTCAAGGCTGATCACAGGTATGTACTTATTTCACCTGCGTTTTCTATTCACGTGTTCTTTCGGTGGAAAGTGCTATTGTCCGGCATGTCGATGGCTCGCCGATTCAAATCGATGCGGTCATCAACCCGCTGAGTGCTCTTGCTCAAAGACTGACTCCTCTTCTGCTGATGCTTGAAGAATGGCTCCATCCAAGTATACGTATAGTCTTGAATCCGATGGTACGCTCGCCTGTGTCAGTTTTTCTTGCTTTTGACGTAAATTTTACAGAGCTCACTTGGGGACGTTCCCCTAAAGAATTTCTACAGATACGTTCTACCGTCAAAAGTAAAACATCTGATTGTGTTGCAGCTGATGCCTGAGAGTTACATGTTGCCAGGAAGAGTTTTTATCAGGTGGTATTGGGCCGCATGCGAGGTTCTCCAACATGCCCCCATCGAAGACGCTAACGCTTAATCTAGATGTACCCGAGCCATGGCTTGTAGAGCCTGTCGTGGCTATGTAAGTTGACGTTTATTCTACTATCCTGTACTGACGTGTATTGACTTGCAGTCATGACCTGGATAATATTGTTTTGGAAAAGCTCGACGATGAAAGAACTTTGCATGCCGTTTTTGAGCTTGAAGCTCTTATGATAACAGGTATTCACAGTTCTATATCGCTCTATCGCATTTCTTGATTCTTTTATTTGCAAGGACACTGTTATGAGCACAATGAGCCGCCTCGTGGACTTCAACTTATCTTAGGAACTAAGCAGCACGCTCATGTGGTCGACACCATTGTCATGGCCAATCTTGGCTATTTTCAACTCAAGGCTGCTCCCGGGGTATGGACTCTTGGTCTAGCCAGAGGCAGATCGAGCGAGCTATACACTTTACAAGGACATAAACAAGGAACGGATGAGGGTCCGATTAGCAAGCAAATCTTAGTTGCTGACATGAGAGGAGAACTAGTACATCTTGAGGTGGTAAAACGAAGAGGGATGGAAGATGAGAAGCTGTTGGTAGTGGATGACGACAACGGGAAGAAAACATCTCTAAGCGTATGTTCCCCATCTTATCACATTGTCACGTTGGCCTTATGCTATATATGCAGGACAAGACGAAAGGTTTCTTTGAATGGGCTGCGAATATTATGGGCACAGGAGAAAAGAAAACTTCAAAACAGAATACCTCGGTGAGGTTCTACTTTACAAGTTTTAGACTCACAGTGAACAGTTTCATTACAGGCTTCAGCGAGGCATGGTGAAACCATCAACATTTTCTCGGTTGCGTCGGGGCATCTGTAAGTCTTAGATGTTTGAATGATCCGACTTTCTCACAGAAGGTTTGCAGATACGAGCGTTTTCTAAAGATTATGATGCTCAGCGTTTTGAAGAATACTAGACGGCCAGTGAAATTTTGGTTTATCAAGAATTATCTTTCTCCACAATTTAAGGTTGGCGGACTTGTAAATCGCGTCTGGCTGACAGGATTTCGTGCAGAATTTGATACCTCATGTGGCTGTCGAGTATGGCTTCGAATACGAGCTTGTAACGTACAAGTGGCCTACCTGGCTTCATAAGCAGACTGAAAAGCAACGAATCATATGGGCCTATAAGATTTTGTTCCTTGACGTGATTTTCCCTCTCTCTCTCAAAAAGGTATGTGCTTAATTGCCTTAATGGCAATCCTCACTCCTTGAAGCAGGTTATCTTCGTGGACGCTGATCAAATAGTGCGTGCTGACATGGGGGAACTATATGACATGGATATAAAGGGCAGACCCCTCGCTTACACGCCTTTCTGCGATAACAACAAAGATATGGATGGTTATCGCTTTTGGAGTCAGGTATTCCTTTTTACTGCCATTGCTTGTTTTGTGTAACTATTATATGTCAGGGATTCTGGAAGGAACATCTGCAAGGAAAGCCTTATCACATCAGGTAAAAATCTTTGGATCAGCTGTTCTTTTTGTTTACTTGCACTGTTGAGTTGCAGTGCGCTCTACGTTGTGGATCTTGATAAATTCCGCCAAACAGCAGCCGGTGACAACCTGCGTGTATTTTATGAAAATCTAAGCAAAGATCCAAACAGCCTTTCCAATCTCGACCAGGTGAGGTTTGAAGTTGAGTTGTTTTTAATTTTTTTTCTCACAATTTGAAGCAGGATCTTCCAAATTATGCTCAACATACGGTACCGATATATTCCCTCCCTCAAGAATGGCTGTGGTGTGAGTCTTGGTGTGGAAATGCCACCAAGGGCCGAGCAAAGACAATCGATTTGTGTAACAATCCCATGACCAAGGAGCCCAAACTACAGGTAAAACCGCAAACTTTCTTGTGTTCTCTGGTAAATTCTCATTGTTCTCCACCGCAGGGCGCCAGAAGAATTGTCCAAGAATGGCCGGCCCTTGACGAAGAAGCGCAACTTTTTACCAAAAGGATCCTCGGCAAAGGCAGGGACGAGGAGAACACAATGCAAGTGCCTAAGGAACCTTCTTCCACAAACGATGCTGACGTGAAAGACGAGTTGTGAGCTCTCAGCAGCATACGAACGAACGGTAAACGAGTCAGAGTTTGATTTATTTTATTGTATTCAAAACGCGTCTGGGACGTGGTTCCATGAATGATTGGTTTAAGCGCTTCTCAGAACGGTGTTGGCGTCAATGGCTCCATTCTCGCGAGATAGTCGGACCGAAGCCCAGAGAAATCTGCCGCATCAGTTTGGAATCTCAACATGGCTGTCGGTACCAGATCCGCTTGGTCTAGACTGAAGTCAGAATCGAAGGCAATCGGCTTTGCCACAGCAACTGGATCCACAAGCTTGAACTCAACTTGGTTCTTGAGGGAGGCCTTGACGAACTGCACACGACAAATCTATAAGCCAAAGCGGAGATGCAAGAGTAGAGACAACCTCGTGGATTGCGGACGTTGGCTCCTTGGGAAGAAACAGGCCCTGCAGCACCACATTGTCGGGGAAGAGTATGCGAATCACCGACACCTTGTACTTCTGACGTGCTGCAAGTACTTGCTTCTCCCTCAGAGACTTTGGAATGAGCAGCTGAGAGTCTTCCAGTTTCTTTCGTTTGATCGCCGCTTGCTTCTTCACCTCGTCCAGCGACAGCTCGTAGAAGTCGGCCGAAAGCTCTGCACGCGACGCAGTACCTTCTGCCGAAACATAAAACACTCGCACCTGCCAACACAGACGTCAGGACAAAATCCAGAGCCTGGACCAAATACCTGTCTGTCAAACGAACTCGCCTCCTCGGTTGTCCTCGCCGCAAGCTGTGGCTGTGAAGGCTGTGCAAGCTGTGCCTCGAGCGCCGCTACAACTTCCTTGATCACTCGCAAGCGCTCAGCTGACGGCTCTTCCATTACGCTCCACAGCTCACCTTGTTCCATGACGGCCTCGAAGCCCAGAAACTCGAGAAACTCGGCACCACCAACGGCCGAGCCAATACTCTCCTGGATCTTGGGATTTCCCATGCGAACCTTCCTGAACTTGTCCGACGCCGGATCTCTAATGATGTTTGTGAGAAGCCGGACGACAACTTGGACAGCTCCGTTGGAGGCGCCGCCAGAGAGAAATGTCGCCACGGCTACCTCCATCTTCTCTGTGTCGTCGGGGGTCATTTCCTGAGAGACATTCGGACTGTTGCTGCTTTTACTGAAGAGACCACCACCACCATCGTTTACGCTTGGATCGGGGAGTAGACGGGACCGTTGGGGCTCTACGCTCACCTCCGCCGATGCCGATTGCCTTGGAGTCAATGACGGCGTCGTCGGCTTGGCGCTTCTCGACTTGGATTTGTCGGCCTTGAGCTGCTCCGCTTCCCACCTTTGCTGCTGATTTCTCCTCCATTCGTCCTGCTGCTGCCGCTGATCGCTACTCTTGGCTGCTATGCGGGGCGACGGCTCTGGCTGCGGCTCGCCCAACCTGTGTCCCTCTCCCTTAAATCTGCTAGAGGAGCTGAAAGGATTCTTGAGCTTCTTCATCAGCCCCTTGGCCTTGTCCTTGACGTCGTCCATATTCGCGCATCAACCCTAGATGGACTGCTCTACCGCCGGGGGTACATCATGACCGTCTGCTTTATAAGGAGCTCCTTTAGCCGCCTTGGGTGTGCCGCATTGGAGACGATGGTTTGTTCCAGCATTTCCCGCAGCGAGGATAGCGGCAGTGGCGGCGAGGCATTCAAGAGCGTCTTGAAAAACTTGTCCCACACATTCGTGTTCCAGTACCTGAGAAAACGAGGGGAAAACGAGGGGAAAACGAGCTTTAGCTACCGTGGGAAGTTGAAGTACCGTTTAAGCGATGCTTTGGGCTTATGGACGCGACCACCGTCCGGGCTTCTCTCCTCTTCGAGCTCCATGTAGCTTCCATGGAGCATACAGTGCACTATACAGCATAAACCGTAGCCGTCAACCTGCAAAAGCACTTTATGAGCATCGAGTAAGAAAGCATTGTCACTCACCTGATAAGTCCATGGCCTTTCTTCCATCATCTCAATGCATCTAAAGGCCGATGTTTTGCTGTCTGCAAGAAACTCGGTCCCTTCTGGAAAGAGTCTCATATCTATGCTTCTTCCCCAGTCGATTAAACATAGTCCCTGCAACGCGAGACATAAGCCTCGAGACAGAAACTAAGAGATATCTTTTACCTGACCCTTCCAACAACCGGGCCTGTTCGGCGCCCAGTTTTCCCAGTTGTCACTGAAACATAATATGCAAGGGCGTAACAAGGCAGAAAAACTTCCAGAACTACCTTTCGTTTCGAATAAGTAGATTGTCGGGCTTAAAATCAGCGTGAATGATGCCAACTCCGTGCAACACCTCAAGCATGCGCAGCATCTCGATCGTGTAATACATGCAGAGGAGCTCGTCCATTTTCAGCGAATGCGCTAGATACGCGTTCACAACGTCCTGGATGCAGTAAGTCATGAGATACTAACAATCAAGTGAAGAAACCCCACATCACCTGTAAGGTTCCATGCTGGCCATAGCCAGCAACCAAGATGCTGCAATCGGAAAATACATACATTTTCCGGGCACTGCCAAAGCTGTCTCTCTGCAAGAATGTACATCATATTAGTTACACAAAAGCTCGGCCAATCTACGTAACCTCTTCAACTGGGATCCTCTTGTCCAGCTGATAATATATGTAGAACTCCCACGGACACGGCGGCTTTTGGATCTACATATCATGTTTGAGACTCAACTGAAAAACTCCAAGGGGCGCTTCTCACCTTCAGTACAACTGGTGATTCATTGTTGCTGTTTTCGTGGGCCTGGTAAACTTGAGCAAAAGCACCTTGTCCTGTACATCCTTTTAGGAAATAAGTCGAGTTTCCTGTCACATAGAAGGAAAATCTTGGTAACCAGCGCAACAAACAGAACCGTACCTAGTTCGACAGTCTTATTGCGTGCGTTCGCTTTGAGAGATGACAATGAGACGCCTCCGCTATATTTTTTGCTGCTGCAATGGAATCCCTACAGGCAGGCAACACTAAGTTCATATAGAGATTATCACCAAAGACCATACCTTGCAAGTTTGCAAGGGTGGCGCCAGTTTCTTCAGCAAGTCCGCAACCAGGGTCTCGTCCCAAGGATCTACGAATTCGATCTTGCGGTCTCGCCGGTCGTCGCAGAAAGCATCGTCAACGAATATATTGAAGTCCATCTTTCCGGCTCCCAGGCTTGGTTTGTCCTGTCCCTGTGGCTTCTTTGCCTGTTCCAAAGGAGCTTCATCTACAAAGACATTTAGCTCCATTGCTCCTGGTAGCTCACGTCGTTGACATGAAGGTGCTTTAGGCTGCTTCACTTGATCCAATGGCAAGGGCTGGTTGAACAAGGAAAGAACGTTGACAAGAGCTTCTCTGGTGTTGATTGTCGGCTCAACCAGACCAATGTGAGTCTCCGCGTTTGCTGCCTCTGGATCAACTCCCAGAACGATAGCCTCCTCCGCGTACTTTTTGATAGCGATTGTCTCATCTCCATGAGGCCGTGCAATATTGGACATGGGATTAACAGCGGCTACAAAGCTTCCTTTCACTTCGGAAGGCCTGCTCGTCTTGAACTTGCGCTTCAAAAAGCTCGCGTGCATTTTCTCCAGTTGCTCCACCGGTTGAGCGTGTCTGGGAGGATGGAGATAAGTACAAAGAGAAAACAGCCAGTGAAAATGGCAGACATACCTCGAGATACCGAGCTCATAAATCTGGTTTGCCTTGGTTATGTCTCCTCGTAGCTCGAGGATCATCGCGTAAGCTTCGTAAAAGAGAGAATGAGTCTGGCCAATACGCTTCGCCTCTAAGAGCTCAAAGATGTGAAGTGGATCCGCGCAGCAGTCTGCCTGAAGCGGTTGCAAAGAAGGAAAGTAAGAATACAGAAGCACCAAGCAGAGGAGGAGACTTACGTAGCGCAACCAGATGCGCAGGTACCTCAGGTCCTCCCGGTATCGGGGATCGTCCAGAAAAGCTTTGGTGCAAAACTCGAGCAATGGACAGAGTTCTGCCCGGACTCCCGGGGCGGAGGAGGAGGTGATGATGCCTTTGGCCCACTTGACACATCTGGGAGGGAAAATCTCGAGTGAGTGAGAGCGAGCGAGGGAAATGCAGGACGAGCACACTTACGCAACCCATGGCTTGAGCGGATCGCTGCCGGCGTAGCTCTGAATGGCGTCAAGAAAGTACCTGGACAAGCAAAGAGAGCACAGATCTGGATGGATGAACGTCTGCTGGAGCTCGATTACCTGCGCTGGGACTGGATGGCATCGCTGGATCCGTTGCTCTTGAGCAAGTCCTGGAGATTGGGCGGGAGATTCTCCTTACCCTTGTGCTGCGCCAATGCCATGGGCGGGAGCACAAGAACCCTAGCGAGAATTTGAAAGCTAGGGTTCTTGAGTGTGATGGCTGCTCGCAACCTGGCGTGTGACCTCATCAACGACCAATTCGGGGAGCTTGTCCAGGTAACGCCATCGCCATCGCCATCGCTCGCAGCGTAGCTCACCATTGCTTCTCTGGGTGGATGATGCTAGAAAGTATGCGACTGCCTTGTGCAGCGTGGAAGCCTGTTGCTGTCCGAGATTGCGCGCTTCACTGGCATCGACGTCGCGCCGCTGGGCGACTGCCTGAAGCAGCTCATCCAGCACAACTGCGTACAAGCTTTTAGAGCTTCGGTGGAGCAAGAACACGATGGCCTGGGTGAGTGCGTGACTTCTTCTTCGAGTTCGCTTAGTTGTTTTCCTTTGCTTGTCTAGGCGCTGGAGGGAGGCCAGCACCAAAGCCCAACACCTTCTACATGCTCATACTGGACAACGTCCTCCACCGGATGCGCTTCCCAAAGTTTATGACGCTCGTCCGCGACGACATTGGCAGCGAGGCGCAAGGCTTGCTCGGCGCCTTACTGCAGCACGGCCGACTGACGCTCGACCAGCTGCTCAAACGCGCAGCGGAATGCGCTCAACCAGGTAGAACTCTCTCGCGCTCTTCCTTCATGGTATTCTCACGCCTCCATTGCCAGGTGACGTTGAGGTCGAAATGAGCGTGAAGAAAGCATTCGTGGAGCTTGTCGAGGCGCATTTCATTGAGCGCTGCCCGTTGCCAGAGCCAACGTTGCCTCTGGCGGAGGAAGAACAGCCCAACAAGGTACCTGTGCTTGTTTGCCTACAACTACAAACAAAAGCTTTTCATTCCTTGCCAAACGAAGCGAGCCAGGATGACGGCTCAGACGCGGGAGCGGCGTGTACTCGATGCGGCAGCACAGTCGGACGCCCTCAGGTTTCGGTTGCCAGCATCGTTGCAACTACAATCCGAGGACTTGGTCACGCTAGATGATTCTCTTATCACGGGTCACAAGGTATCGCTCCTTCACTTTTGTTATACTGAACCTTGACTAAGGATCACTTGGAACCAGCGCAAGGAAATGGATACGACCCTCCTTGACGACAAAGATGTTATTTGGCGAGTCAACTACGAGGAGTTCATACGTCGCCTACGGCATCAGGTAAGTAGGAGTAGTGCTCCCAGCTACCATCGTACGTAATCGTTTTATTTCCAGGCCTGCGTGAGGCTGGTGAGCTCCAAGTGTGACCTTGGGTGTGGAACTGTTTTGGCGTGCATTCTCGACAGAAGCCGCAAGGCAGAGCGGAGCGTCAGACAAAGGCTGTCCAGTAAGCTTTTAGCTCGATGCTTCGCAACTAGCTTACGTTTCGCTGTCAGGCCCTCTTGAAATGGAAGCGATTGTCGAGGCCGTGAGAAAGACAGAGGAGGGACGATGCATGCCCTTGGAAAGGATACGCTGCGCTCTTTTGCAGATGACGGCTGATGGTTTTGTCGTTGATCGAGCTGGTGAAGCGAGTGAACAGTATGCTATCAGTTCGTATTTCCGCCATTTTATTCTAGTCGTGCTCTTATGCCGCTCGGCATGTTTCCAGATATGCGAAAAATCTTAGATGTTGCGAGGCAGGCTGAAGTAAGTGAAGGAGATATCGTTATTCTCATATCTCATCTGCTCTGGCTACTTTGACAGATGGAAGGCATTGTGCTACAAAGATTTGGACGGAAGTGCTGCAGAATCTTTCGGCTCCTGTCAACAAAAGGCCGCCTGGATCACAAGCAGGTGTGCAAGTTTGAACGCTCGACTGTTTTAACGGATTTGTTGTGCATGTAAAGATCTCCGACAAGTCGCTCGTACCTTCAAAGGAGGCATGGGAACTGCTGTCGAAACTTGTCAAGGAGCACTTCATCGAGCTAGAGGCATGGCACTCTTGATTTTGTAACTCAATGCTAGCGTTTGCCCTCGTTTCCTAACAGGAGGATGATCCAAAGCCTATCTCGTGGCGCGTCAATCTCGAAATAGTGGCATGGAACGTGCTCAACCAAATGCATAATGCAGCATGGAGTCTGGGCCGTCGCCTCTCCCAGGAGCTTGAACAGCAGGAGCAGGAGCAAGATCAAGTAAGTAGTATGGTTGCTTGCTCGTGAGACTTATGGATTGGATGTGTGTGATCCACCACAGGCTGGCGCAAGTGTTCCTCTTGACGAGGCGAGCAGCAGACGAAGAAACATCGCCAAGGTGCTCGAGGCATCTGCGACAAGGCTAGACGACGCAATCATGCTGTTCCACGACTTTTAAAGGCTTCAAAAAATTTCGTCTGCCAAGAACTCGTCGTGCAAGCTCTCCGTCAAAAGGATTGCCCCTCCAGTAGAGAGCCAATCTACTACTGCACCTTCTTATCGACGTTACTGCTCGCCTTGCTCCGTGTAAGTGGTCGCCTTCCGGGGAAGAGAGCCCGTAGAAGCCTCTCCCAAACAAAGCAGCCAAGCGACATCATCCCCGCCCACAGCAGCAGCTTCCACCCAAGCGGCTTTGGCAGTGGAACCAGCCTGAGCCAGTCATTCAGGTCTCTCAGCAGGTCGGAGCTGATGGTTGTGAAGAACAGAGCTGCGGCTGTTAAGGCGTAGAAGAACGGCTTGTTCTCTCGGATGCTCTGGTTGAACGGGTGGCCGATGTAGTTCACCGCAAACGTAGCCACCTGTATCATCATGTTGGCCATGTACGAGACCGTGTTCACCAGGTTGGGGGTGAAGTCCGAGTCCGGCTCCACGCACTCCTCGGGCATATACGACTCGGCAGCCCGGACGACGGAAACCAGGAAGCAGAGGTGCATCGCAAACTGTCCTAGCATGGATATGATCACGTAGGCCGAGAAGATGTTGGGGTGCGGCCTCTGAGCGGACAGTGTGCTTAAAGGTCGTGCGTTCGAGATGAAAAGGAAAAATGCCGCCGTGAAGAGACCACTGATTGTTGCCTGCACGTCGCCAAGCTTCACGCCATCCAGGTACATGACACTGAGCACATAGGCCGTTGAGAGGCAATTCAGGCCCAGGATCTTGAACATCTGCAACGTCGTCACCAGAGTGCTCCTGCCTTGACGTATGATATCGGCCGTTGGCTGCACCGATGCGTGCTTGGCAGTAAACGCGGACGCCATGGACGCATCACCAAGTCGCACCACGGGAGCGCTTCTACCGTCGTCCGAATTCATCTCGTCCATCATCTGCTTCAGTTTCTGCTTTTGCTGCTCGGCGCGACTGGCAGCACTGTTCGGACGACTTGTCTGCGAGGATGTCGGAGCCCTTTGTCTCTTCACTGTCACTATAGAGGCTGTTGGACAACGAAGAATATAAAGTGCAATGCCTACCGGTAGAGCTGGAGGCTGATGGCGATTTTCCAGGCACTTCTACAGCATTAAGTAGTGCGACCCCTACGTGCGCCTTTGAAAAACCCAATCAACGGTAGGAAAGACAGTTTATAAAAGAGATTACAGACCTGTTTCAGAGCACCGACGTCGTTTGTACCATCGCCGCACATAAGGGTCGTTCTACCCACATCCTTCAAGGTGATGAGAATGAGCTCCTTGTGATCCGGGGCAACTCTTGCATACACCTGTACTGAAGTAACCTCAGGACCGCACAAGAACATGTTTCGACCCTTACCTTTACGAAAGGTAACACTGGTTCTAGTGCACCTGTACGCTGGAGCATAGCAAGTCCGTCACCAGAAACGCACAGGTCATAGTTGTCCGCCAATATCTGGATCTTCTCTACCCTGGAAACAGCTCCCATGTTCGAAAATATAAGAGAAAAGACACAGAATCTTACTCGTAAGCTATCTTCGTTTCCTCGTCAGGCGAAAGCCAATTAAAACCATCCTGCCCGTTTGATGGAGGAGTCAAGATTAAAACTGGCTGAGAGACAATGTGAACTTGACCAGCAACATGACAAGCCGTAAGAGCTTGATCCCCTGTTATCATCACCTAAGAAACATAAAAAAACAGCGTCAGCGTTACAGCACGAAAATCCAACGTTATGTACCAGATCATGAGACGAATCTTTGAGGTCTTTCAGAACGGAGGCCGAATCCTTCCTGAGAGGACAAGCAAAAACCTACGACCGACGTTAATTCAAGAGAAAAATTTAAAAACTGCATCATACCGCAAAACCACAAAAAACTAAATCGCTTTCAACGCTCTGCCTTTCTAACGATCGAGCCTCGCCCACCTTGTATACAGCACCCGTTAATAGCAACACAAAACTGCAATTATGTCCATAATCACTTACCGGAATGTCTGGAAGGACTTTGTAAGCTAAAGCTAAAACTCGAGCTCCCTGCCGTGTATACGTCTTATATGTGTGGACGTAAGACTCAGGAACGTGAACCAGTCTTTCTTGAATTGTTTCAGGTGCACCCTGGAAGGGCGAGTCGCCAGATACTTAAAGTGAAAACTAAACACTACCTTTGTAAAGGCCAGAAAGTTCTCATCTATACGCACAACGGTGGACATTCGTTTCAAAGAAGAAGAAAAGTGATGCCTCTGTATGATTTGAACGGCTGGCACGCTTCCCCTGTCACAAAGGGCATTAAGTACACGTCTTTACAAGCACGAGCTTCCACAGACCTGCGGGCAACAGCCTTCTCATCGGCTGTGTAAGACCAATCCACACCTTTCAGAGCAGCCTTCTCAAGAGGATCTCCCACCTGGAAGACACTTTCCACGTTAAGCACAGTCAACAAGCAAGGTATTACCAGTTTGTTATCCACGAAAACAAGGGCGTGGCAGGCGGCCAAAATCTGCAGAGTACGATCAAGGAGTTTCGTAGGATCGCTCTCGAGATGAGAGCCTTTCCCCTCCACGTTGCAAACCCCAAGAAATTCCTGTACATCAAACAGTGAGAACTTTCATTTAAACAATATGTGTGAATACCATATCATCGCTCGTGAGAGTCCCAGTTTTATCAAAACAACAAGTATCAACCTGGATGCCACGCCCCGTCAAAGAAATCAACAAAAGACTACAAGCCTACCTTCCCGGCGAAAGGTATTCTAAAAGGTTCAGTGCAATAGATTCCACGTCGTACAAGAGCTATGAGAGAGGTATTCACTGCAATCGAGAGTTCCATCGGCAACTCCGGCGGTATGACAGAAGTTATTATCATAGAGCAATTCAGGAACAGCTTGAATTTGCTGCGCGTTGGGTGCTCTAGCCCCTGAAAGTCGCTATGAATAAATAAGAAACTCCAAGCTTGCACAAAGAGAAACTTTACCTGCTTGAGGACATACCCGGCCGCAACCAGAGCAAAGAAGACAAGGAACAGAATGAAAAGACCACTCTCCCAATTGTTTGCAGTAACCTGCAGAGCATAGTAGTCACAATGGATCGCAATAAATCACGTGCTCACCCTCTCGGTAGAGAAAAGTATAGTCCGCATTAGCTTCCCTTGGCTCGTTTCGAAGCCCGTGCGTAGTACGACAGCCAAACAACCACCGTCCGGAGTTTTCAAGTGACTAGCCTGCAATTTCAAAAGAAGGCGATCCTCAACTCAAGTCGCACACAACTTTGCCTTGCCTTGTCTGGAGTATGCTGAAGTATTTTAGTTCCCCCAAAAAGTACGTGAGCTTTATCCTTTCGGATTGACAGCTTCTCCTCCATATCGCGGCCTACAATGGAAACCTGTCGATACACTAGTAAACGTGCGAGCAGATGAGAATCCGTATGATACCTTCCACTGTGGTGTCGATTCACCCGTCAGAAGAGCTTCATTGGCGATAGCCGTCCCGGCAAGAAGTAGCATATCAGCTGGTACCGTGCGTTCTTCGCTTGTTTGCCCTGTGGCTCGACCGATTGATACAAGATCTCCCGGTAAAAGATCTACTCCTGAGAGTTTTAACCATCTGCAGGAAAGGCAGTCAATGACACAACAGCGGACTTTGAAGTATCAACTTACTTCCCAGTGCGATACACATGAATTGTCTGACTATCCACTCGCACGCGACGCAATTCCGCGAGCGTTTTCAGGCGGGATTTGACGACAGTGGACTCGAAAAGGATCAACATGAAGAGAGTAAATATGCTGTAGTACCAGTACTCGTCAAGGCACCATAGGCCTACACAAAACACCTGGGGAAAGAACATATAAGCCAGGGAACTTTTCGAACGATCAACAAGTACCTGGAAAACGAAGAACGGTTCCATGCAGTGCTCCTTCATTAGCTTCTGAAACGTAGGTTGAGGGAACTCAAAGCTGCATAAAACGAGGTCAGTGGGGAAATCAATGCCAAGGGCAGGGCGGGGCGCGAGATCTTCCTACACGTTCCGGCCCCATTTGCCCAAAGCGGCCTTCTCTTTCGCATCCGTTCCATAGCCGCTACTTCTGCTGTACACGCCAAACGTCTCTTTGGACGGATAGAGAAGCTTGCGAAACGTATCGTCTGAAAAGATAAACTTTTGCTTGCGAAACTCGAAGCTATGCTCTGGCTGAGACGATATCGAATTCTTGGATCCGACTTCCTGATTGACAATGAAGCAATGGTCAGTCCCATGAAATGGATAGAGCGAGCGCATTTCCATACCAGGGTTGTATGCACCAAGGGAACAACTTCTTTGGAGCCAGAGAACTTGGCAGGAACAACTTTGACGACGTCGGCCTCGCGCACACGATTCACCTGCAAAGAAAGCCACGGGCACGATTCAGCGAGAGGGGAGAGAGAGAGAGAGAGAGAAGCGCGTGGAAGGCAAACCTTAGAAGCGTGCATGAAGCAGCGAAAATCCACCGACCAGGCAGTGAAGAGCACGACGAGAATGTGGAGCAAAGCCAGGCCGAGCAAGACGATCACGGCATCCATAAAATCGAGCTGGGGAAGCAGCAGCAATGCCCAGGCAACATAGAGCAGCACAAACGGCCACACATCCAGCTGCCAGGCGACGCCGCGCCATCTGTAGAGCTCCACGCGCTTGATAGTCTTGGCGTCCACATCCAGCTCCATAGCGCTGCTGCTCACGATAAACCCTAACCCTAATCCTCTCTAGGAGAGGGGCGGACGGACTAGCCTATAAGCCGGCCTCGCTCGAATGCGGCGGTGCCCCTCGTTGCACAGCCTGGACGAGGTATGGCGCCGCGCTCATTCCCAGGCTGGATGGCTGCGCAGCGCTCACCAGCGATGGCGGCCCTGCGACCTTGGCTACCTTGTGCGCCATTTGAGCAGGATTGGCACCCTCGAGAGTGTCCACGACCTCGCAGTTCTGTGGAAGCAGCAGTGGGGACTCTGAGAGAGAGAGAGAGAGTGGTTTGATACCTGGATGAAGACGAAGAAGGGCGCCGCAGCATCCACTGGTACTCCAAACTTGTGTGCTATCTCCGCCTGCTCGTCAGCGTTGATCTACAAAGGAGGAAGGGATGATCACATTCGTTCGGGGCATCAAATCGATCACGCAACTCACCCGGAGGAATGTTGCCTGTGGGGTGTCGGCGGAGAGGCGCTTCAGGAGCTCCTCCGCCTCCTCCACGCCCTTGGCTTGGCGCGGAGAGAAATGCAGCACCACCGCTGAGCCCCGCGCCACGATCGCCTCCAGCTCGCGCAGAGATGTCACGCTGCCCAAGCCCATCTCTTCTCTCTTCAGCCCTAGGTAGCGCAACGTGGCAAACAAAGGGGATGGATGGGTATTTTATTTCTCACAGGGCCGAGAGCTCTTGGAGCTCTTGTTATCTTCTCTATAGCTTTTTGAAAGTGGCATATACGCGCAGGATATTCTCTTCCGCAATTCTTTCCCAGCTGGTGGGACGTCTATGTCTTGTCAGCTGGCACAGGGGCTTATCACGAGCCCGATCTGGGGAGACCTTCGTTTCCCAGTGCTAGACTAGCGGAGGACTCACTCACCCTTTGGATCAGATCGATGGAATGGTGGTAAGCAGCGCATAGATCTATCGAGCTAGATCGCAGAGGCAGGGTGTGGAAGTAGCGGGCGCACCTGCATTTGGCACAGGATGAACGATCTTCTGGGCGGTGATGGTGGTGCCGATTTGGAGGCAGGGCAGCAGCGCCAGCCGGAGCATGGGAGTGACAAGCTGCTGGGCCGCTTCTTCGACGAGGTGGGGAAGATCAAGAGCGACATGGAGAGGCTCAAGATGCTGCTGGGCAAGCTACAGGCCGCGCACGAGGAGAGCAAGACGATTCACAAGGCCAAGGCGATGAAAGCTCTCCGGCAGCGCATGGACAAGGACATTGAGGAGGTTCTCGTCAAGGCCAAGCTCGTCAAAGACGAGATCCAGAAGCTGGATAGATCCAACATTGCCAGCCGCCAAGTTGGCGGATGCGAGGAAGGGACGCCCACGGACAGGACGAGAACGGTGATCACGGCTAACCTCAAGAAGAATCTCCAGGACGTGATGGCCGAGTTCCAGAAGCTGCGACACAAGATCACGGGGGAGTACAGAGACACGCTCATCCGGCGCTTCTTCACCGTGACGGGGAAGAAGCCCGACGACGAGACCGTGGACTACATCCTCGAGACTGGAGAGAGCGAGAGCTTCTTGCAGCGGGCGATCCAGGACCAGGGGCGAGGCCAGATTGTGGAGACGATACGAGAGATCCAGGAGAGGCACGACGCGGTGAAGACGATGGAGAAGAACTTGCTGGAGCTCCAGCAGATCTTCCTCGACATCTCGGTGCTGGTGGAGTCGCAGGGAGAGCAGCTAAACAGCATCGAGCACCAAGTCCACCGCGCGGCAGCGTACGTGGAGCAAGGGGCGGGGAGCCTCCGCGGCGCCAGGAAGATCCAGAGGAGCAGCCGCAAGTGTATGTGCATTGCCATCGTTTTACTCCTCGTTGTCATCCTCGTCGTCGCAGCTCCGGTCATCTTTAAGCTCAAGAAGAATTGATCTACGCTCTAGCTGTAGTATCACACATTGTTTCAATCAAGATTGCTTGCTTGGTTGAATATTACAACTATCTGGCTGTGTTCATCCTCTTGAGAGCGACATAAGCCAGGATCCTGTAGCCGACGACCATGAGGAGTAGAGCAAACACGTCCTCCATTGGACCGGCCTCGTTCAGGTCCACGTCAGCCATTACTCGCGCCGAGGCAATACTTTTGCAACCCGTTGCGCTGAGGCAGTCGTAGACCTGGGAGCGACTATACTGCACCTTGATCAACAGCCTAAAGGCGTAGAAAGTGTAGGAAACGTACTTGATCCATTTCACAAATGATGCTAGGCCCTGCTTGGATCATCACGCAACGTTATATCGTGAAAGAGGTTAAAACTTTCAAGGCTTACGTGAGTGAAAAATCCGCCCGTGAGCATGAAAATGAGGAGAAGGATTGATGCCAGAGTTGTTGCATGCTTTGTGTCCATCATCACGGCACCGATGAACAGACCAAGTCCCTGCAAGGACATATAAGATCAATCGCTGTGCTCTTCCAAGTACGTCAAGTTTTCTCACCTCAGCGGCAATGACAATGAGGAAGAGGCTGAGGACTGTAAGCAGGAAAGCCCCCACGGTGAGTTTCAAATGCGCCATGAAGTATGTGATGAGCAAGAAGACCAGCGGCAACACCAGGTTGAGCGGAAGATCACCGAGTGTTCTACTCATGAAATAGGAACTCAGCCTGTACATGTCAGACGCTCTTTCCTTCGCGATCATGGCTCGTTCTTGAGGGAATGTGTAGATGGCCACGAAAATGGGGAAGTAGGCCCAATAAATGGAGATAAAGAAGATCAGCCCAACCTGATGGGTTCATATCCATGAGTTACTTAGTGCATGATATGATATTAGATTGAATTGCTCACCTGGTCTTGTAAGTGTTTTTCCGAGTCGGCGCTTGAGTGCAACCACACGAGGCCGGCTACGACCGCCGAAACAAGAACTTGAAACACCCTCAACCAGCTCAGGTACTCGTGCCGCCTCTCTTTGAATCCGCGGCTCATAAGCACCAAAAACTGCTGCCACCACCCGATGCTCCACTCGCGCCTCGGCGGGAGGATCACGTCCTTTGCATGGGGCGGAGAATCAACACTGCTGTCCCTAAATGCTACTTCGGAGCTGAAGCACTCCACCAGATACTGCAAAGCACAGACCCCCGTGACTTACAAGATCAATGGAAACTCTAATGTGGAAAGCTTACTTCTTGCACTGCAAGCTCGGGAGGCTTTCCTACTTTGCTATCGCCTTTGCTTTGTATAAGCTTAATCTCTAGCTCTGGAGGGATGGACGTGTCACTGATGTTACCATTGGCGAGATCTAACAGGAAGTCCGCTGGATTCATAAGCAGCGATGCGTTGAGGCCGATGGAGCTGAAGTACGGCAGAGCATCCTGCCCTCTTCCGAAGAAGATAGCGTGGCCATTTGAGAGGAGGAGGAGATTGTCAAACATATGGTAAAGCCGGCTAGAGGGCTGATGAATTGTTGTGATGACTGTTCGTCCAGCCTGACAACCGGTGGTTAAACTTTTCCTCGATGAATGAAGGGATCAACTCTACAATACCTGAGCAAGCCCATGTAACAATTGCAGGATCCTTAAAGCAGTTGTAGAGTCGAGGCCAGAAGTTGGCTCATCCAGAAAGATTATGGATGGATCAATCAGAATCTCCTGCCCGATGCAAACCCGTTTTCTTTCACCGCCTGATACACCACGCTCGAAAGGCCCTCCAATTATCGTGTCCTTGCACCTGCATTGCAAATTGCCAGTTAGCAAGGGTTAGCGAGAGAGGGAGAGTAGAACTCTCGCGAGCTAAGATCTTTCTTACTTATCAAGGCCCAGCTCTAGGATGATACTGTCTGCCCGCTGAATCTTTTCTTGCCTCGAGAGTTTCTTGGGCAGCCTGAGCAAAGCTGCATAGCGGAGCGTTTCTTTCACTGTCAAGTGCATGAACAGCACGTCATCCTGTGTCACGAAACCCATTCTGCCCCAAATCAAATGCTTGGTGTTTTCAAACCATAGGCATTACTTTCACTACCTATGGAAAAGAAAATCTAGAGCCTAGGCTTTAGAAAGTTTAGTACCTTCGCTTGAGTGCCTTGGTGTAGCCCATGTCATTGTAGGTGATCGATCCAGAATGTAAATTTGTTTGCGATCTTCCAGCTAAAAGACTGAGCAGTGTGGTTTTACCACTCCCGGAAGGACCCATCATCGCTAGAATCTGACCGGGTCCAACAGCGCCAGATACTCCATGAAGGATTTCCTTTCCAACAATATTGGAGGAACCACGGCACAAGGTTGAAGTCTTGAATCGGATGCTGCATCGAACATCCACAAACTGTGCGAGAGGATCCAACGATTGAATGATCAGATGAGAACAACACGAAATAGACTACCTTCAAATAGATTGGAATCACAACGCTCTTGATGTCCACGGAACAGTGTTGGGGAGCTACTTCCACTTCACACATACATGCAGGATCCTTTGTCTTGATCTTGATCTCACCCAATGAGATTTCTTCATGATCCACACATGATTGCCTGGGAGGAAGAGCCATGCCAATTGTAATGTATCTCCAGAGCTAACTGGAGACATGCACAAGAGCCCTAATTCGGTTTGCAAAGGCAAATATAAACACTGACGGTTGGCCGTCAAATTTCCGCCGCTCAAAAATGAAATCGAACACCTGTACCCGCCTTTCGTTTTCAACGGCCACTCACAAATATTCCAAATTCCAAACTTAGTGGTCGATGGAGGCAATCTAAGATCGATCGCCCAATTCATTCAGTCACACAAAACAGCAGATACTTTCCAGATTCTACATATTTCTTTTGTGCTGTCCCAGCAGCCGCACTCAGGAAGGAGGCATGCCGCCCTTCCTGCAAAATCTCCTTTAGATCATGAAAGTTCCAGAGCTTCTTCCAGATGTTGCTCTTGTGATGACCCCTGTGGTCTCTTTTAATTATTCTAGAGCAATCATGCTTCCAAGTTCATAAAATGTATGCCTTTATTGGGAATCTTGTTCCGTGTGGCATCCTCCAAGCATATTCAGACACCAGGTATCTGCCATATGCCCAAGGATGGCATGGAAATTTGGATATGCCCACAAAGGTCATATTGATGATTTACATCAGGCAAGGAGGCAAGAGGGAGAAACAATGAGAAAAAAAAACTTATCTCATCCCATCTAACAACGTCGCCTGCGCAATCACCTGGTTGATCACGCCCTCCACAATCTCTCTTCTCAGCTCTCCAAAGAGCGCCGCAACTTCCTCATGCAGCAGCTGGAGTGACTCGTCACCACATCCGGCAGCCCGGTAAAGAACGCCCATCTTCGACAGCGTCTCGAAGTTCCCGGGAGCAGTCTCGTGTAGGATTCTCATGTAGTCGCCAGCGCTCGGAAGCTCCGGGTGCTTGAGCACGCAGACCGCAGAGTAACGCTCCACCTGTGCCGCACGGATGCAATCCTTCTCCTCGTCGCTGAAACCCCTCGCAGTCATCCTCTTCTCCAAGTCCAAAACTTCGTCGAGGGTCTTCTGCGCGTCACCTCGACGACGATCATAGAACTTAAAGCTGGCGAGAAGATCCTTGTTCGTCCTCTCCAAGACGCACCGCTTGCAAGAGCACTCAAAGTCGAGGCGCTTGCACTTCACCTCCCGCGCCGGCAACGGAGCCAAGAGCAGTGGTTCCATGCTCCCAGTCGCCTCGAGATAAGAGAGTAGAACCTCGTCACCGGCACTCATGTTCCTGGCAGCCCGGATGAACATCACGCGTCCGAAGCACACCTTGGAGGCATTGGGAGTGCACGAGTGATTGAAAAAGCCGCTCGAGGCCCAGACTCCGGCGATCCAGGCATCTCCGGCCTGAGTGGTGAAGCCGCACCGGTGGCCAACTCGTCTCACTCGCTCGATATCCACCTCCTCAACTTTCGATCCCGGCGGTACCACAACTCTTCCAATGTTGCACTTGAAGCGATCCAAGTCCGGTACCGTCGTCATCTTGCTCGCGTCCGCCATCGCATAGATGTGGTACCGTGGCCTGCTGGAAGTGCTGCAAGATCGTATCAGCTCCACGTACAAATCCCTGTCCGCGTTTTCGATCCTCGGAGTCTTCACGTACGCAGTCGGGTTGCAAACGATGAGCAGCTCCCCCCGCCTTACGTCCCGAGTGAGATACACACCTCTTCCTCGACCGTCCGGAGTCATCCTCAGCTCCAGAGGTCCGAAGTAGTCACTACACTTGGGTTCCACCTTCCGGCCAAGCACGAAGTCCGTGATATCGTACTCACCGTCCCGGCTCTCCCGCAAGTAAGTCCTGGATCTCTCCAAGTCGATCGAGACGTCAGGCGGAGCGTCCGGCAGCGCCACAGCCGACTGGAAGCACGGAAGTGCGAGCTCGTGCTCCTGGAGCGCGGTCAGGCTCTTGCCTTTGCACCACAGGCTCCGTGCATGGTGGCTATCGGACGCCCCCGGGATCTTGGTGGCGGTCTCGGCGTCCACAAAGGCCTCCTCGTACCGTCGCAGCCGGAGCCTCGCCTCGGCTCTCCTGGAGAAGACTTGCTTCTCCAAGACACCGTAAGTTGGAGCTCCGCTCTTGGCTCTCATGTCCAGCAGCTCGGTGTAGTACAGCTCGGCCAGCACGTAGCTCCCTCGACTGAGCAACGCGTTGGCTTCCTTGAGGAGCCTCCCGAGCGGCTTGGCGCTGGCGGCTCTCGCGAGTCCCAGGAACTCCACGGACGCGGGGCTGGAGACTTGCAGCGCGGACGAGAAGCACAGCGGCTCTTTGATGGCAACTCTGGCATTTGGCGGAAACAAGAGCTCGCCATCTTCCTGCCTCGAGGTGGAGGCGACGGCATTGAAGACGTGCAGCAGCGCACAGCCGCGGTCGTTTCCACCGTCCTCCTCCTGCTCCACGAGGCACAGCACCGCATTGGCGGCCGGGAGAGCTGCGGAGGTGCATATCTTAGCATACACTACGCGACCGTGATAGCAAACCTCGCGGCTGAGGCACCGGGTTCCAACGCAGGCGTCCACCATGTCCAGCTTCCTCAGCCCTGGCAGCGGCGCCGATGAGAGCTTGCATCCATCGCTCATCGCCGTGCCGGTGGCATTGGGCACGGCGGCCTTGAACGCGCGCAGCAGCACCTCCTTATCCATTGCACCCAAGCTCTAGGGTTTATGCCACGTCACACGAAAGCATATTCCCAGGATTTTACCTACATTCTTTTCTCAAGGGGTGAATCTCCATCCGCGACCAACGGTCGCAACGGCCACCACGTGTTGTTTGTCTGTTGGCCACAGCAACTAAAGCGTAAGCGTTAATGTGGGTTTTTAGCGCATATTCTGTCGCATTCACACACGCAACACTTGAGCTCCTGCCAAGGGAAAAAGGGAGGGACGCAAACGCCCAACGAGCTCCCAGTTTTTTTAGGTTTGCGCGTTGCCAAGATCGATCCGGCTGCGCCGACGGAGGTGTAAATGGCGCCGATCTGGTCGGCGGCGCTGCCACTGCTGCTTCTTCTTCGTCACACCATAGGTAGGCGCGCGCCGGTGATTCTTTGCTTGTCCTGCATTCCTTGATCTCTTCCATAGTTCCGGGGCATAGCATTCCTGCTGCATTCTCATCTTGTTCCAGACTGGTCACTAACGCCTCCAGGAGAGAGCAGGATATCACGGTGTGGCACTCGATCCGGATCAAGTGGTAGCAGCGCACCGCCGACCTTGGCTGCTTGAGGAAATCGACCAGGGCCACCATCCTCCGGGTGTAGGACATCACCCTCCTGGAGTGGGGCATCATCCTCCGGGCGTTGGACACCATCCTCCCGGTGTTGGACACCATCCTCCCGGCGTTGGACATCATCCTCCTGGTGTCGGTCACCATCTCCCCAAGCGTAAGTCTGCTTAGCTTCTCTTGGCAGCAATGTAGATCCACTCATGCGTGAATTCATGCTCTACAGCCTCGTCGCTAGCTCGGGCATTTGTGGCACTGCAAGCCTGGAAACGCATGATCTTTCGCGACCCGCTAAACATTACCGGGAGCTGGGTGGGCAGCGAAGTATGTAACTACAGAGGTGTCTTTTGCGGGCCTTCTCTCCACGACCCTACACTCCGCGTTGTGAGTGGGATGTACGTGTACATGTAGACCATGCTTGCGCGGTATTTCACTGACCTTTTGATGCGTTGCTTGTTATTCCAGTGATCTGAATCACGCCAATCTTGGTGGTCAACTCCCCAGTGAACTGGGACTTCTGACCGAGCTCGGTATCTTGTGAGTGTGGTAAATTCATCCACCGTCCAAGAGTTCTTGCTTATCTTTTTCTTTTCCTTGTCCAGTCATGTGAACAGCAACGAATTTACAGGGGGGCTACCCGAAAGTCTGAAAAATCTCGTTCTCCTTGGAGAACTGTAAGCATTTGCTGTTTAGCTGTTGGTCTTGACGTTAATATTTTTACAGGGACGTAAGTAACAACAAGCTGTCTGGAGTATTTCCTGCTGTTACTCTGCAATTGCCAAGTCTTATATATCTGTAAGTTGACACTTTTTCTTCGATATGATATGTAAGTTTGGTACTTTTGCAGGGATATAAGATTCAACCGGTTTTATGGAAGCATACCCGCAGAAATCTTTGATAAGAAGCTGGATGCACTGTAAGTTACTATACTGCAATTATCTGAGACAGGACTTGACGTTTGCTGTCTTCAGCTTTGTCAACAACAATAACTTCGGAAATCCTATCCCGGCCAATTTCGGAAACTCTCCAGTTTCTGTTGTGTACGTGTCCTGTTGCACATTTTTTATGCTAAAACAATTTGTTCTGTTGCTGTCATGCTGTAGGGTCCTCGCCAATAACCAGTTCACTGGAAATATTCCGAATAGCTTAGGAAGCATGTCGAGGACATTAAATGAAATGTGAGTGACGACGAAATGTCGACCATACTGCGCCTGATCCTTGGAGTTCTATTGCAGAGTATTTCTCAACAACAGTCTCGCGGGTGCTCTACCATCAGAAATCGGACTTTTGAATCAAGTATCTGTATTGTAAGATGTTTGTTTTTTGTTTCGAAGTTTCTAATACCTGCTCCTGTGTGAAGTGACGTGGGCTTCAACAAACTAAGTAGCGGTTTGCCCGACAGCATCGCGAACATGGTTGAGCTGGTTGAATTCAACGTCGGAAACAATTTCCTCTCCGGAATTCTGACTGACAATGTCTGCAACTTGCCGAAGATAAGAAATCTGTGAGTTTCGCTAAACGGTCTTGTATGTATGTTAGTAAACCTTTTGTGTGTGCAGGACCTTTTCTAACAACTACTTCATTGGGGAGAGTCCCTCGTGCGCGTCTCTATCAAGACGAGGGTATGCATCGCACTCGTTCATGTTGTTTTTTGCGTGACGCAATTTGTTTTTGCAGTGTGACGGTAAGTACGAGCGGGAACTGTTTCTCAAGTCAGAGTGGCCAGAAGTCAGGCAAAGAATGCAGAGATTTCTACGGTAAGCTCGTTAGGAAGTTATGCGGATTGTGCTAACTCTTGTTTTTCTTCTTCTTCTTCTTCTCTCTCAGCTCCACCTCCACCTTCAGCACCAGCTGCTCCACCGGTGGGAACACCCCCACTATCTCCGACACCTCTCCCTCCTAGCCCGATATTTTTTCCACCTCCAACTCCACTGGCACCATTCGGCTCTCCACCTCCACCGTCGCCAATCGGCTCTCCTCCTCCCCCACTATCTCCGACACCTCTCCCTCCTAGTCCGATTTTATTTCCACCTCCACCTCCACCGTCACCAACCGTTTCTCCTCCTCCAGCATCCTGTCCATCGGGATATAGCAGGGGTCAAAATTCGGGACATTGCTTCCAGCTTGTGAAGCAGCATGCAACCTGGAGCAATGCCGAGAAATATTGCGCACAACATGGGGGTCACTTGGCAGCAGTGGCGGATTTTAACGAACTCAAGGACATCGGCGACTTTTGCAGCCAGGCTCCCCCGAATCAAGGTAAGCACGTAGACTGTCTCGTTCGATATTTCTAACAGGAATTATCCTCTTGCAGCATTGGTGGATCCTTATAGTCCTAAAGGTCAAGGATGTTATCTGGGAGGCCAGAAAGCGAACGCCTCCTGGATCTGGCCGAGTTCTCCATGCATCAACTTCAACAGCAGTTACTGGAACTTCTTGGAGCCGAATAACTTGTATGGAAACGAAAACTGCGTGTCCATAAAGTATGAGCCCCCAATCTTGCGAGCCTCGGCTTCTTCACTGGCATACATGCTCAACGATCTATTCTGCGAACACGAGCTTCCGTTCGTATGCGCACCAACAAGATGCTGAGCCCGAGACTAAAAAGTTACGTTTTATATAAAATACAACCCGGCCAAGTCCTCCCAGGTAAACAGAAAGAACACAATCGAAGCGTTTTAACTGCTTTCATCTTTTGCAGCATTAGCAGCAACATCACCACCACCAGCAGCAGCACGCAGCGCTTTTCTCAAGCCGAGCACTATAAACAGATTCGTGACTGTAAGGAGCGATTCGGCACCGCCGTGAAGCCAATCAACGTTCGAGAGAGATGTGCCGTAGTGAAGTTTGGCTGCATGCAACACACAGAGTTCAAATCGTCATCAAATCGTGGATATAAGGCTTTCGCATTTGCGAGCGTACCATAGATGCCAGCAGGAACTGTGGTAGCACAGAAGCGGTTCCAAAGACGTACATATGTTGCAAGTTAGATCCACAACCAAAACAAGACGAGAAGACTTACTTGTAGCTGCGACGAATGCGAGTAGAAAGTAGAAGCCAAAGAGGGTGAGCTGGGGCGCAGTCTTGGACTTGGTAAGGTGATAGAGGAAGCCGAGATACGGGAAGAGCGATGCAGCAAACAGCTGAGACGCCAGGCTCTGTGAATTGACGCCACCGGGAGACCAAGGATCCACCACAGTCGCAGCAGTAGCAGCGACACTAGAGGCCGCGAGCTCCACCAATTCAGTAGCACCTGTTGCTGCTGTCAATCTTCCGGGCCTGCGATTGCGAAGACGGCCATTGGGATGCAAACCCGTTGTCGCTGGAGGAGGAGCTCCCGTGAATGCTATCACCACCATCGTCCTAAACGAGATAGGTAAGTAGAGACTGACTGTCTCCCCTCTACACCACTTCCAAAGAATGACCGCCCTTGTGCTCCGGGATCGGCATTGCTTCCAGGGCCAAGGATTTCTTCACGTCCATATCCGACATGCTCTTTTGCCTGCGCTGCACGTCCAGGCCACAGCTGGTCTTGGACGCCTGAACCTCCTTGAACTGAAACTCGGACGATCCAAAACTCTGGCGCTTGTCACCTCGGTCGTCGCACATTGCGAGCTCTTCGAGTGATGGCCGGCCACAGAAGCGCATACCGGGCTTCTGCTTGTATCTGTCTCTCAGCTCCAGCACTGCCTGCTCGTGCTGTCTCCGGAGTTGCCTCAGCTCCTGCTCTTGCTTGTGTGCCAGCACCGCCATCTCCCACTCAAGTGGATCGTCAATCCCAGCACTAGAGCCTTCTTCCTCGCATGACGACCCCTCTGGAACAGCACTGGCATGCTCGGGTCTCTTGTCTGGAACTGGCGTCGAATGGAAGTCCCACAACTTTGCTGTTTCCTGATTCTCTCTCGGAGTCGCGTGAGATCTCATTGGCAACGACTGATACGTAAACTCCTCGAATCGTCCGTGCATTGTTCCCTCCAAGTTCTGTGGTGAAAGGCTCTCGACTTCGGAGTTTCTGGAAGATACTGTCTCGCAAGTGTCGATATCGTCGGTATCGTGAAGGGTGGTGTCTTCTCTGTGTTCTTCAAACGAAGCCCCGGGTCTCCAGTGAGGGACCAGCAGCACTATCTCCGCATCGATCATATCAGCGATGGTCGTGACATCCTGGTCGGAGAGGTCTAGCTCGGCTACCATTTCACTTGCCACGCATAGTGCAGTGTCAGCTTCTACGTCGAAGGGGAAATGAATGTTTCGAATGCAGCCTGCGATGGAAAGATTAAAGAAGCCACTTTGAGCAGAAAAGCATACCTTCCTGGTCCGCAATCCGGAGTTTTAAAAAGATTGTGTCGTCGTTTCTTCGTCTGACTCTTACTCTGAAGTCTCTGCTGCGCCGTGTCAACTCGTGGTGATTGTGATGTGCACCTCTAGGTGCCAGGTCATAAGCCATAGCTCCAGCGTGAATAGTGGACAGCGAGTCGTCGCCATTCTCCTCGAGAATTACTTCCAGCTCGTCCATGCTGTCGTGAGGCTCGTGAACGACCCCCCTTTCGGCTGTATGGCACTGAAGAAATGGATCCATGAGCAGCTCTCTTGCTGGAAGCCTCCTACATGCTTTGGCTAGGCACTGCTCCACAAAAGCCCGCATTTGAGGATCCTGAACTTTGTTCAGCGCAGCTGGCTTCTTTCCCTGTCACAAGGAGTCACAAAGGAATAAGTAACCGGTCGGGAAACTCTAAGATTGGGCTCACCGATGTAACCTTCTTGTAGATTTGGGCAGCATTCATGCACTCGCTATAAGGATACTCGAAGGTGACCATCTCCAGGAGGCACATACCAAACGAGTAGATGTCGACAAGTTCATTGTAATCCTCCTCGTACAGCTCAGGAGCCATGAACTCCGGCGTTCCTACACAGTGCATGCTCTGTGAATATCTCAAAATTCCAGCAACCTCTTCTTGTGCTGCTTGAGCTTACCAATCACGCTATGAGCACCGTGTGCTTGCCGCAAAATCCCAGCAAGTCCAAGGTCTCCAATCTTCACTTCGCCGTGGTTTCCATTCACAAAGATGTTGTCACACTTGAGGTCGCGGTGTATGATCGGTGGATCATGGCTGTGCAGATAGAGAAGCCCCCGCAGAATCTGCCTTGCCCAGTGCTTGACAGCCTTCAAATCAACATGCTTGTGTTTCCTACGGTACCTGCTCTGAGAAAAAGAAAAAATGATCAAGCATCACACTTGTCTCGAGCACAGAGAAGAAACAAAACTTACTGCCTCAAGTTCCCCGACGTGAATATCTCGGTGATGAAATTCACGTTGTTGCTCGTGGTATCCACCCACGAGTTGTAAAACTTGATGATGTTCTTGTGCTTGAGCGATTTGAGCAAGTGTACCTCCGAGTATAGGCGCTCCAAATCCTCGGGACTCCTGAGCACATCGTGGAGCTTCACTTGATTCCAGGCAACTTCGATCCCATCGATCTCATCGAAAGCCTTGTATCTGTCACGAGTGACAAGTTAAAGCCAAGGAAGCGCAAGAGAAGACGACTTACACAGTCTTGAAAGCCCCCTTGCCGAGTAGCTCCTTGTACTGCGCGGGCATGAAGCGTTAGATTACTCTTTTATCATCATCGCATCGCTAAAGCAAGCACATACCCGGCCATAGCGACCAGTTGGATCGACTTCCACGAATTCTGCCTCATCCTCACTGCCTAGATCCAGCTGAGAGCTCATTCTAGAAGCAAGAAATCTGGATCTCGATCGATTCTCACACTGATGGAGCTGCGCCTCCGCCTGGCAGCCGTCGCCGGTGCGCATTGGATGGATCTGTGGAGCTAGAAGATCACGCTACCCTCCATTGCCCGACTACTTAGGTCGAGGAGCTAGCTAGGTTTACCCACCCAACACACACCCAACCCACACACACTCTCCACACATCACACACACACGAGTTACTCTTAATTAAAATTCTATTAACACAAAAAGGGTTTAACTAACGCCGTGGATCTGGGTTAAGCTTGAAAAGCATCTTTCCGCCATACAGCGCCAAGGAGCTAGCTAGTGAAATGGTGGAGGGCGAGAGTGCTAGGGCAGGGGCTGGGAATGGAGGCTCTGGCGCCGCGGGCGCTGCTGCTAGCCGCCGCTCCCCGATCCAATGCCAGAATCTCCATCGCCTCCCGGCGGCCGTGCCACAGGAGGATCGTGTGCTGCAGCCACAAGCGGGTGAATTCCGCCACGGTGAGCCTGGAATGGCTGACATCGCTGGTTTCTGGAAGAGGGCGCGGCGAGAGTGCTATTCCGACTGCCCAGGTGAGGCTCGAGGACTTGACCAAGCTGCTCCAAGGCTCGCTCTTCTTGCTGCTGTTCAAGTGGATGGGAGAATGCGGCCCTGTGTATCGACTCACTGGAGGGCCGATTAACTTCATCGTGCTCAGCGATCCCGCCGCTGCCAAGTACGTGCTAAAGAACTACGGGAAGTACGCCAAAGGCCTTGTTTCCGAGGTGGCCGAGTTTCTTTTTGGCTCTGGATTCGCGACTGCTGAGGGTCAGATATGGATGGTGAGTTTTTTCTTAGTGACTAGCCAACTTCTACTAGAAGTGCTCATGATCGTTCTCTACTTGCAGACTCGCCGCAGAGCGGTGGTTCCATCTCTTCATCGTAACTTCTTATCCACAATGGTGGATGGGGTCTTTTGCAAGTGCTCCGAGCGTCTTATTGACAAGCTTGACAAGGTAGCGCAGACAGGCGAGGCAGTGAACATGGAGGCTCAATTCTCTCAGTTGACACTGGACGTGATTGGCTTGTCGGTCTTTAACTACGATTTTGATGCGCTAACGACCGATAGCCCTGTGATCCAGGCTGTTTACACGGCTCTCAAGGAAACGGAATCTCGTGCTACAGACTTTGTTCAGTACTGGAAGGTACTCGGTGTAGAAAGATGTCGTGCACTCTTACCATTTGCGTGCAATGCAGGTGCCTTTGCTTTGTCAAATTGATCCGAGACAACGAAAGGCCGCCAAGGCGGTTTCTCTCATTCGAAACACTGTTGAGGATTTAGTTGAAAAGTGCAAGAAGATTGTTGACGCTGAAGGGGAGTGTTTGGAGGGCGAGGAGTACGTGAACAAGTCCGATCCAAGTGTTCTTCGGTTTCTCTTGGCAAGTCGTGAAGAGGTACGTCACGCAACGGTTTTCTTCACAAAAAAAATACTCTTCCCTTCTGATGTAGGTGTCAAGCCAGCAGTTAAGAGACGATCTTCTGTCAATGCTAGTTGCGGGACATGAAACCACAGGTTCCGTTCTAACTTGGACAGTATATCTCCTAAGTAAAGTGAGCAAGTAGCCTCTTCTATCGTCATTAAGTGTGGATTTTCTTATTTTCTTTTTTTTTTGCTAGAATCCTTTGGTGCTTGCCAAAGTGCAAGAGGAGCTGGACGCTGTCTTGAACGGTCGTAAGCCCACAGTCGCAGACACGAGAGAGCTCAAATACCTTACACGTTGTATCAACGAGTCCATGCGTTTGTATCCTCATCCTCCTGTATGTCTGCGTAGTAGACACGGTCTTGTTACTAATTTTCTTCTTGCGCAGGTGCTCATTAGAAGAGCTCAAGAACAGGATACACTGCCTGGCGGATATAAACTGGAACGCGGCCAGAATGTCATGATATCTGTGTATAACATACATCATTCACCAGCTGTAAGCTTCAAATCGCATGTTGAATGTTTCCTGATATTACAGATATCCATAATCACACGCAGCTCTGGGAGCGAGCAGAAGATTTTGTTCCAGAAAGGTTCGATCCAGATGGTCCCATCCCGAACGAATCGAACACAGACTTCAGGTGCGGCTAGTAATTTTATTATGGAACTCTGCTCACTTCGAAAGTTACTCGATTGGCAGATACATTCCATTCAGCGGAGGGGCTCGAAAGTGTGTTGGAGACCAGTTTGCAATGCTGGAAGCACTTGTCACACTAGCAATGCTGCTCCAACGTTTTGAGCTCGAGCTGGTTCCTGGTCAAGATATTGGGATGACGACGGGTGCAACAATACATACGACTAAGGTAAGAGTACGTATACATTGGAGGGGACCATTGACAGGTCTTTGTTGTGCGTTGTAGGGTCTCTTCATGACGGTAAAGCGACGATGAGAGTAACAGTTTTCTAGAAACGAAGAAATTTAATCCGCGGATACAATAAAATTCAACGATGAGAGTCATGGCCGCTCCTTTCAAGGTGGGCTTGTTCTCATCTCGAGCCGTATGTTTCTTCAAGTGCTGTTTCCGTAGAGCTAGGAAGGAATCTTCTATTTCCTGTAAGGACAAAGGTGGAAAAGCTGGCAGTCTGGACAAACGGCCAGCTGAAGAGGCGAAGTGACGGACAAGTATACCATCTTTGCTAGAATCGCCATGAACTAGAGGCCTCAATTCAAGAATCTCTCCGCCTCTCCATCAGAGAATGAAATGCCTGTGGGAACTCAGGAAGAAGGCGTCCTTTTCTTAGGGGGGTAGCCATCTGCTGGCATAAGTATGGTATGAAGTAGCAGAAGCAAGTATCATCGAGCGCAAGCAGCAGGCTTCATGGCTCGTCAGGAGCACAACGGATTACACCGCCACGATCAGCCGACCCTGCAAAACTTACTGGGAAGTGCGACGCCATATAGCCATGCTGGTAGTGAGTACAGCGAGAAGAACGACAAGCTCTACGGCCCGGGCCTGGTATTTGAAGATCTCTTGTACAGTGTGAGCAAGAAAGTGAAGAAAGAAGGCAAGTCGGTGGTGACTTCAGTGGATTTGCTGCATAACATCTCGGGCGAGGCACTCAAAGGCCATGTCACTGCTGTTCTCGGGCCGAGTGGAGCTGGGAAGTCGACTTTCCTGGACGCTCTAGCAGGCAGGATTTGCAAAGGAAGCCTGCGAGGCCGAGTGACGGTGGATGGCAGGGCAGTGAGTACAAGCATGATGAAGAGAATATCTTCATACGTGATGCAGGACGATCAGCTGTTTCCCATGCTCACAGTGTACGAGACGTTTCTTTTTGCGGCTAACGTTCGGCTTCCCAGTGCGTTCACTCCGGAGGAGAAGAAAGCGCGTGTCGAAGAACTGATCACGCAACTTGGCTTGGAGGTGAGTTGTTTAAGCTAAAAGTGTACGCTTAGACTTACATGTGATTGTTTTCTCCTGTAGCATGCAGCTGATACGTACATAGGCAACGAAGGAGTGAGGGGTGTCTCCGGCGGAGAAAGAAGGAGAGTGTCAATTGGCGTGGATATCATCCACGGGCCATCTCTCCTCTTCCTTGACGAGCCAACTTCGGGATTGGATTCCACGAGTGCATTCGTTGTGGTGGAACGTCTGAGGGACATTGCGCAGCGGGGAAGCACAGTTATTCTGACCATTCACCAGCCGTCCTACCGCATTCAGCAGTTGCTCAATCGGCTCATTGTTCTTGCGAGGTAGTCATGTTTAAACTCTAGCTAGCTCTTATTACAGCTTTGAGTGGATCTGCTTCTCAGGGGGAAACTGATCTACTTAGGAAAGCCTGATGCGCTCGAGGACCACCTTGCAGACCTTGGACGGCCTGTTCCCGACGGGGAGAATGCACTGGAGAACCTCCTGGACGTTATCAAAGAGTATGACGAGTCGGACTTGGGTTTGGAACCTCTGGTGCAGTTCCAGAGGGATGGCGTTCGACCGGATGGGCTTGGAGCAGAAGCGACGCCACTGCCATCCAAGAACAGGAACAGGAATTACTACCAAGTCGACGCCGAAGATGACAATGACTTCGACCGCTCCCTTCCAAAGAGCATGGCCATGACTCCCTTGCACAACGATCCCAGGCTTGCGGCTCAGTTTTACAGGGAGTTCTCCGCGTGGCTGTACAACGAAGCCATTGACACGTTAAGACGGACTCCGGCGAGGACACCGGCAAGAGCTTTACGGGTGCCAGCACTCTCTGCATGGAGGACGCCTATAGTGGCACCCGAGAAGCAACAGCGGCAGCAGCAGCAGCCAGTGGACGTTTCGGTGTCTTGCACCGTTGCTCTGGATGACCGCTTCCAGCCGTCCCACGCGCCATACTCGGATTTCAGCACCGATGACGAGGAGGAGTCGGAGGAGTGGAGGCACAAGTTTGCAAACCCATGGTCGAGAGAGCTGGTGGTTCTCATGTGGAGGAACTACAAGAACGTGTACAGGACACCCGAGCTCTTCCTCTCCCGGGAGCTGGTGATTGTGGTGATGAGCGCAATGCTGGCGACACTCTTCAAGCGGCCAAAGGACACTCTGGACGGCGTGAACGAGCTCATGAACTTCTACATCTTCGCGGTGTGCCTGCTCTTCTTCTCCTCCAACGATGCCGTGCCCACCTTCATCCAGGAGCGATTCATCTTCATCCGGGAGGCGTCGCACAACGCGTACAGGGCCTCCTCGTACGTGATCGCCAACCTCATCGTCAACCTCCCCTTCCTGGCCATCCAGGCGCTCACGTTCGTGGTGATCACCTGGTGGACTCTCCGCCTCCACGGCAGCGTCTTCACCATCTGGCTCATCCTCTTCGCGTCGCTCATCACAACAAACTCGTTCGTCATGTTCGTCAGCGCCGTGGTTCCAAACTACATCATGGGCTACGCGGTCGTCATCGCCATCACCGCGCTCTTCTTCCTCAACTGCGGCTACTTCCTCAAGCGCTCCCAGATCCCCGGGGTGTGGCTGCCGCTGCACTACATCTCCACCATCAAGTATCCCTTCGAGGCGCTGCTCGTCAACCAGTTTGACAATGGCTACCACGCGTGCTACGCGAATGGACCCGTGTTTGAGAAGCCGGGGCCGCTGGGCAAGGTTCACACAAGCGTAACGTCCAACTCGTCGTGCACGGTGGATGGAACCGACGTCCTCAAGACCATGGACATGGGTGGCGCGCGAATCGGGGTGGACGTTTTGGTCCTGCTGGCCTGGGGAGTGTTCTACAGGCTGCTCTTCTACGTCATCATCAGGTTCTACTCCAAGAACCAGCGACATTAAATCTCTTCTCTATGATATTTCGATAAAGCTCTAGCGATCATAAGATCACTAATAAGTACTAGCGCAATAAAGACTAAGTTTCGGATCATCCTACGTGGCGGCTTCCTGGCGTGTGATTCGTGCTTGGCCTATCCGCGTTCTATCCACACCATCCCTGGGCTTGGAGTTGAATCCACACACACCATCACTCGCTAGTGCTCTTGAGTTTCAAGAGCGCGATTGCTAGCACAGCAAAGATGCAGGCTCTGGCAGCAATGCAGGCGTCTCCAATGTCGAGCGTGCGCTCCACCATCAGCAGCATCACCAGCAGCAGTGCTAGCAGTGGGAGCAGCAGCTTCTTCCAAGGTCAGTCCAAGATGGCTGTCTCCATGGCGGGTGCGCGAGTGAGCATGATGGCGACGGCGGACAAGGCAGCAGCACCAGCGCCGGCGGGATTCACCCCGCCAGAGCTCAAGCCCGACACTCCATCACCGATCTTCGGCGGCAGCACGGGCGGGCTGCTGCGCAAGGCACAGGTGGAGGAGTTTTATGTGATCACCTGGGAATCGGGCAAGGAGCAGATCTTCGAGATGCCCACGGGCGGCGCCGCCATCATGAGATCCGGGCCCAATCTCCTCAAGCTCGCGCGCAAGGAGCAGTGCCTGGCGCTGGGCACGCAGCTGCGCTCCAAGTTCAAGATCAACTACCAGTTCTACAGGGTGTTTCCAAACGGCGAGGTGCAGTACTTGCATCCCAAGGACGGAGTGTACCCCGAGAAGGTGAACCCCGGGCGGAAGGGCGTGGGCGTCAATCTCAGGTCCATTGGCAAGAACTGCAACCCGGTGGATCTCAAGTTCACTGGCAAGGCCGCCTACGACGTCTAAGATCTCATTTCTAGTTCTCCGTGTAAACCATGAAACTTTAAAAGCAGTCCACTCGTCGAACATGGGCCTTGCATCTCTCACCTCTGAGTAAATGGATCTCGATCGAGCTGTGTAAATCTATCTTCTCTTCGTTCCATCTTTTCTTCATTTTTTAAGTAATGTTTATGATAACAAAGAACGCAAGTTTGAAAAGCTTGTACTGCATGTGGTGGTGTTCTCAGGTATGAAAAGTTTGTTCACCTCAGTATCTACTGCAGCTAGGTAGACCCTTCAGTCTTGCCTTTGTCCATTGCCTTTGAACCTACATATAAACATACACTTTAAATCATATTGAAAACTATATATTGATTAGTGTATGACTCTTCATAGCCTTTCATCTCTTCTTGTACAAGATTCTTGTGTAGAATCACATATATTACATATGAAACTTTTAAAATCATGAATTACCTTTATGTTGCTAACATAGGAAATAAATGGGGAAAATCACTGCCACAAACATGGACACAAGGAAAACCATATGGTATGTATATGTTGTAACTGAGAACGTATGTTTACAACAACCAAGAAAAAAACAACACAAAGAATGTCCTTATACAAAATCTACTACAGCAGAGCTTTTGGAAGATTTACACCTCCCTTTCCCCATTAACCTCAAAATATTAGAGACGGGGATCCCACAATTTTGTTACCTTATGGTTACTAAAAGAAATTATATTTTGAACATCAAAGACAGATAAACGTTTTTATGAAGTAGAAGAAGCTGGGCTATGGATTAACACTCACATGTTGTTAGGCCTCAAGTGTTCATGAAAAAGGTAAAGAAGGGGTCACGTCTCAGGTCCAAAGTCTGGGGAAGAAGTTGACGAGCGTTTCATCTCCTTGATATATATACGCTAGACCTGACGTGGCAGCAGTCTTGTTTCGACGTGGCAGATTGGCTGGCAGTTTAGGGCAGCGCAGAATGAAGCGCAGGAGGGAGGAGGAGAATGGAGGAGGTGAGATCGACGAGGCGCTCCTGGCGGCACTCGAGTCGTCCTCGAGCGGCGCGGGCGCAGGAGGAGGAGGTGGGGCGGCGGTGGAGCTGCTGGATGTCAAGGGCGTCAAGAAGATGGTGCTGGCGTTTGAGCGCAAGCTGCGGGACAACATCGAGGCCCGGATGAAGTACGTGGATCAGCCCGACAGGTTTGTGGAGTCGGAGGTGGATCTGGACGAGGAGCTCAAGAAGATGCACGCATTGGCAGCCAGCCCCGATTTGTATCCGGAGCTCGTCCGGCTCAAGGTAGTGGGATCCATCGTGAGCCTCCTCGGCCACGAAAACACCGATATCTCCACCGACGTTGTCAATCTCCTCAACGAGCTCACGGACGGGGACGTGATCGGCGACAACGAGCCGGCGGGCCTCCTCGTGGACGAGCTCGTCTCCAGCAATGCGCTGGAGCTGCTCGTCCAGAACTTGTCGCGGCTGGACGAGGCCGACCCGGACGAAGCGGCCGCAGTGTTTAACTCGCTCTCCATCGTCGAGAACCTGATCGAGGTGAGGCCGGCGGTGGTGGAGCTCGTGTGCGAGAGGAGCAAGCTCCTCAAGTGGCTCCTCACCAGGATCAAGGTGAAGGAGTTTGACAGCAACAAGCTCTACGCGAGCGAGATCCTGGCTATACTGCTGCAGTCGAGCGCCGCCAACCAGCTCCGGCTGGGACAACTCAACGGTGTGGACACTTTGCTCCAGAGTGTGGCGCTCTACAAGTCGAGGGATCCCAAGAGCAGCGAGGAGGAGGAGATGCTGGAGAACCTGTACGATTGCCTGTGTAGCGTTGTGATGCATCCGGACAACAAGGACAAGTTTGTCAAGGCCGAGGGTGTGGAGCTCATGATCATTATCATGAAGCAGAAGAAGAAGCTGGCCTACGGATCAGCGCTCAAGGCTCTCGACTTCTCACTCACCAAGTGCTCCGATGCCTGCGAGAGGTTTGTGGACGTGTTGGGCCTCAAGAGCTTGTTCCCGGCATTCATGGGAAAGGTAAAAAAGTGGCTACGATTACAAGGTAACAATTCGGTCTTGCGTTTCAGGTCCCAAAGAAGTCTGGGGAAGAAGTGGATGAGCGTTTGATATCCTTGATATACTCCTTGTTCGGTAAAACGTCTTTCATTTTGTTGCCTTTTTATAAGTTTGTGTTTTTGTTGCAGCTGGGCTGACCAAGGACGCCAGCAAGGAACGGCTGCTGAGCAAGTTCGAAGAGAATGAATACGAGAAGATCGATCGGCTCATGGAATTCTTTGTCAAGTTAGCAGCAGCAGTCATGGTGTAGATTCTTCTAACTTTAGCTCTGTTTTGCAGGTACCACAACCGGGTGAAGGCGGAGTCGAAGAAGCTAGATGCGGAGAGCTTTGAGGAGGTACTTCTCTTGTTTCTTCACTGATACTGATTTTCCTGCGGGATCTGCAGCTGGACGAGGACGACAAGTACTTGAAAAGACTAGACGCCGGGCTTTTCACGCTGCAGGTACACGTGACTCTAGAAAACCTGACAACACTTTGTGTATTGCTTGCAGCTACTTGCGTTGATTCTCGCGCACATATGGCTCTCCAAGTACGTAGATTTTTGTTCTTCTCAACTGTTGATCTCCTTCCTTTGTTTGTAGGCTCCCGGGCGTGCAAAGTCGTATCGACCTTTTACTGAAGCAGCAGCGGCTGTCTAGAGAAGACGTCAAATCCATATTGCAGGTAGAGTCCACTGCTATTTTATGTGTCACTGACGTCTAGGCAATTACAGGAGTATCGTGACAATGTGGACGATGAAGGGGGTAAGGCTAGTGTCGAAGCCTTTATAAGTGCAATGTGATCGGGAAAAGACCCTTTTCGGGGATGACCATCTTGGACAGGGGCCATGCTCTCGACAGCATTGAAGAAGATATGATCAGCAGCTATGGAAGATAACTCTCTACTCCCTCCTTGTGTCGACCCATGATGAACTGTTTTGCGACAAATTTTTGTGTTCGCTGCTAAAGGTTTCTTTGCAATCTCACTCGCTTCAAGTTGCAAAGCACCAGAAGTGGCGTGTGGCTTCAGATCTGGTGAGGCTCCATATTTGCCTACTGAGATTACAAAGGCTTCAATATATTATGTTTTAAATCTTGTCATGCCCAACTAAGAAGAATAAGATTGAACCCAGCACATCAAAGAGAAGAGCCTTGTGTCTAACAGGTAAAGCACGATGGTCCTCTATCAGTGTTTGATTATGCTGCTCTTTGTTTGTGGAGTACTCAGTTTGTCGCCTTTCCAGCATCAAGTTCTACAGGGGATTGGTCCCACTTGTCTTCAATGCCTTCGGAAGTTTTGCAGGAAAAAGACTTTTGTTGTATAGACATTCTGGACTAGAGGAAGATGAATACTGGGATGTTATTCTCAAGAAGTTTGACAAGACCAGTTGCTGCAGTGAGAAGAATGCTCAGGAATGCAGATTGGACATGCATAGATGGCACATATGCAAGACAACTGCTTACAAATAATTACTTGATCAGTTAGTCTTCTTTGAGCTGATGTGAAATTTTAAGTGGGTTCAAATTAGACAAATGTGAAAATGAACTTGAGATTCCCATGGTTTCTGAATGTGTATGATTTTATTCATAGTATATTCTCTTGAATTTGCATGATTTCAGATTTAATATTAAGTTCAAAATCCAATAGGTTTTAATTTTTGTGTGTAATATACAAAAATGGATAGAGACAGTCTATGTACTAAAATTAGGGTATTTATTCTCTCCCTCTTTTTCTCTCTCTCTCTATATATGTGTGAGTATGGGATCCAAGTGTACAATTATAATCCCGTATTAGCATAATGGAGCCATTAAAATTTTCAATTCAAACCACTTATTTTTTATATAAATAGGGTTTCTTTAATGCATATTTCTATATTCAATACACTTATATAATGGAGATGAGGGGCAACTCTAATTATCTCTGTAAATTTATGATTTTAGTTTTGATTTAACTTTTACATTGTCTAAATATCTTTTATATTTATAACTTTTCCCATTTATTCTCTTTTGTTTTTCTTCTTTTAGTTCATCTTCAAAAGAAATAAAGTGTCCTACACTAACCAAAAATACCATTTCTCTTCCTTTTCACCATTACATTCTTTAGGATGGGCCAACACAAGCCTCAAGGTACTCTCCCCACCTTTTGCAACTATGGTGCCCCAACCATATAAATGGGGTGAGGTTTTGATGAGATCACATTAGTCCTTTGAAATCTTTCCCTTATTATCCTATAAAGATTTATAAAACTTTTTAAAGTCTGAGAAATGATTGGTTTGGGCTTTCACCCCTTAAACTTGGACTTGGTCTCAAACTTGAACTCGGACTTAGTTTTGGTCTTAGTTTTGCTCTTGAACTCAACATTTATCATATACTAATCCTTCTTTTGTCCTTTTCTAAAGATTTATTTATCAACCACTTTATGTTCATTCCTTAAGCACTTCTTTGGAAGTTCTTTTCCCACTCTCAGCTTTCCATGTAAAAACTTTGGTCCAAATGTATTATGTTTGTTCAACTTTCACTTTAGCCACTATTATATGGCACACCTTTAGCTCTATTTTAGGACATAGAGATTTATATCTTATAAAGAACAAGAAAAAGAAAAAAGAAATAAAAGTAATTAAACCAACTAAACCTAAGAAATTAGAACTATTTTGCAATATAACCAAATTTTATATTAGAGCAAACTTATTAGCAAGAGAAGCTTGCTAATATAGATAGATTTGATATCATTAGTTTATCTTGCCCTAGCTGCTTAAAATGCATAAAAATAACTCTTTTGTTCCCCTTTAATCTAATTAAAAAAGGGGTAATTGTTTGATAAAAGAGCTCTTAATAGCTATTTTATCCCTATTTATCCCTTAAAATTTAAAAAATCCACAGTGATAGTATATTCAATTTTCATCCCATGATTACATATGCTACATTTGATAACCAAAGGTGTCTCATGACAAAGAAATCTTAAGAAGTCAATAGGACTTAGTAGATAAGCCTTTAAACCCCAACCCAATAACAATGCTAACAAGCACTACTGTGAATAAATAGGGATTTGGTAGAGATCAAATAAAAGATTACCAACTAACACATCCAAGTTAGATATAGATGTAACCTCTTAAATTTGGACTTCTTGATAGGTCATTCAGCTTAAAAACCCTAAATATCCCAAAACCCTTAACCCATTGGAAAAATGAATGCATTTTTATATATGGGCTTTTTCTTTTTGTATTTGAACTCTTATCGACACAATCTTTTTGGTTACTTACAATAGAAAAAAAGTGATACAATTTAGTAGAAGCAAAACTAATATCTTAGGTGGTTGATTATATTTTTAACCACTACCTTTACTATATAATGTAGATTATTTAGTTGAAAATATAAAATGAGCTTTTATATGGGGCAAGGGGTAGGTTATAAGAGGTTCCAAATACTTTGGTAGATTTAGGCATATTCTATAAATAATTCTATAAACAGCTTACCCTACCTATGAACTAATTTATTTTCTGGGGCAAAAGATGCTGCAAGTGAAGGCTACAAGAGAATACAAGTTTATAGGTATATGAAATTTAAAATTTAAAGTCTTCAAATAAATTTCATATGTTCTAATAGATGCTTATAAGAAGCTGTTGGTTTTACTTCCTTTTTCTACAGAAATGGATAAGGACTAAAGACAAACTGAGACTAGGTTTCTGAATTCACCAAAACGTACTGATACTCCAGTGAAGAACAGGTGGCATTGACATTTAGTTTTGTGTAAACCAGGAGTGTTGCACTCAATTATTGTGCTGTTTTGCAAACGGTTACATAAACAAACCTATAGGCAGTGGATATATTTAGAATATTGTTGAATATTTTAGGATATTCTACCATCTAACTGTTATTAATGTTTATAACTCTCTTAAACACTTTCTGATATTCAATAAGATTAATCTTGTATTTATATGTTATAAACTTCCATTTGATTAATTAGATGCATGCAACGCACAGAAAAAAAAAATTATTATTATTATTCTGGTCACTCATCAATCTTTGATACTGCGTGGACCACTGCTCTTATGAACAGTTAGGTAAGAAGCTGGAACGCACTCGTGTAGATACTTTGCATACATATAATTGCATAACCGTAGTACCAGTTGGCTACCTTGGAATGATTATATGAATCTGTTAGAACAAAAATCATGAAAATGATATAATGGCTGCCGGGCTTGGTGTCAATGAATTCTTTGCTCATAAGTTCTCGCAGCTTGTCTACCTTTGGGGATCCCTCGTTCTGCTTGGGGCCAATGCCAACGATCTTCCAGTTGAGCAGCTCTTTTTGTCAGTCGCTCTGCTTGTGATTAGGTACTTTAGAATACATGTTCTTCCGAAGCCCTCTCCAGAAGACTTGTGAAGCTACAGTATCCTCGCAGTATTCGGCTTGATACTTGACGTGTTTAGTATGGCGGTGGGTTGCTCCGGCCTTGCTTTGATATCAAATGAGTTGAGTCACTGTCGTCGCCTCCCGATCTTTCTACTGGTGTTCTACTCTCTCTCCTTGCTCAAGACGTTTAGGGTTTAGGCGAGGGGTATCTTGTTTTGCACGATAGTATTCTATCTGAGGAAACTTCACAAGCTCTACAAGCTCTTGCATGAACAGCAGGTAAGCAACGAGCAAGATGCTGAGAATCAGGAATGCAATGGTAATGGCCCAGCAACAGTGCCAGTTCATGACAAGTTCAATGTTCAGCTCCTGAATGCTGTTGCCTTCCTTGAGATTTACAGCATGCACGATGAGAAGCCCGCTTACTATGATGCTTTGGACAAAGAACAAGTGTGCGTTCGCAACATTATGGCTTCATCAGAGGGTGGCAAGAAGCGCTGGTCCTTGCCAGCATTTAGTGGATCTTCCACTCTACTGATTCGGAAGGGGCATTCTGCACAATGTGGACTTGGACGATGTCCTTGAGTTCATCTACAAACGCTACAACGACCCTGCTACTTGGCTACAGAATCTGAAGTACCGCTGCACAAAGTATGAAGTACCTGCACACAAGATTGAGGAGAATCCTACAACTTCAATTTCTTTCACAGGTCCTTGTGGTTTCTGTGTTCGTCACTGTGAACATTCTCTTTCTTCTCCACTGGATGATGAGTATGAAGAACGTATAAGTTATGTTTCACACAACAAGCCTCTGATCAAGTGGATCTTCAATGAGCTCCTCACCTGGGAAAGCAGCCTTGACATCCAACAGTCTGCGGTGGCACTCTTGCTTTGCATCTGCGAAAACAAGGAGGTTGCTTCCATGGTATCTCAAGCTGCTAAATTGGATGACCAATGACTCCAAGCGCTTCGAAACGCCTTGCCTCCCAGTCCGGATAACGAGCTTAACAGGCTGCTGAAAATGATCTCGCAAGGGTGAGACTCTGGACCTGAAGAACAAGGTCACAGAAACAAAAGAAAAGTACATGATATAGATATGTGTATACATACGTGGCTTTTCTATTTCATTGTGAGATATGCCATTAAGAAGGAAGATAAAAGAAACCATAAATCCATATATATATATATATATATATATATATATATATATATATATATATATATATAATGCTTCTTATTAATGTCTTCCTAGTTCTAACTAGTAAATGCATAGTTTATTATATTTTTATTCTAAACCTAATTTTTAAAATGAATTTATCTATAAATAAATTAACAGTTAAAAATGAAGTTTTAATTGAATGAGATACTATAATTAACATATTTTCTTTGCAGCATATGCCACACTTATATTTAAATCCTATACCACAAAATGTTTGAAGCTTGGTTGCTCAAAGAGTGTAGCCAAACTTTAAATTTAATTTAATATAAGAGGGGGATTAAAAGAAGTTTAGGAAATCTGTGAAGTGATGGATAACACTTTGCTACTCATGTAATAAATAACTAAACTTAAGTAAAACCAAGTAAAAATTAATACAATAGATAGGAATTTTGGCAAAGGAATTTAGCTAATCTGAAGGCAAAGGTGGTTGAATAAATGAGATGAACTGGAAAATTGGAAAAGGAAAATTTATAAGTTATAAATAATATCTATTTAACACTCAATATAATCCCTTTGTAAGCTTTTAAATTTAATTTTCTTAAAATGTCACTTAGCCCAATATTACTCAAACCCAAGAATACATAATATATGAGTTCACATATAATAAAATCCCATGGTTAAAGAACCTTATGCCATATGAATTCTTTTTATATTGAAGAAGATTAAATTTAGTTTTTTTTCTACTAGAATTTATAGTAGTATTATACAATTTTCTCTTTGACTTAATTTCTTATTGAACTTATGTTATTTAAGTTCTTGTTGGATTTAGGATATGTTTTAACTTTTGAATAAAATTGTTAATTGAACCTAAACTAATAATTTCAACACCAACTTTTATATTTAATGGATTATGTTAACTTCTATTGACTCAAGCTTAGCTCTTGAGATGAGCTCAAAAACCACCTAACCCTTTGTTTTTCCAACAACAAAATTTGTGAGTGTAAGTTTTGCAAAGATAGAGGATAAAGTTGGTCCCTCTTCAAATCATGATCATACTGGGATGATCAGAAGTTCAGGTAAGGATTTTAATATGTTTTACTATCATGGTTATAATACTTCCTTTTTTGCAGATGATGAAGATAAACTCCTCTTATCTTTGTCTAAGGATCCAAAAGCTGGTAAAGCTCTATCACTATTAATATTGACCACTTTCAAGAATTGTAACATAACTAGTTATGTAGCTTTCAATATTTTCATAGGTGTTGGGCAGCAAGAGTTAGAGGTGTTTAAGCTTACTCCAGCCAAATAATTAAAAAAAACAATATATTCAGTGTGTGAATATGGTAGTATATGTTCTAGAAAACATGCGTGCCATGTCTGTGGGAATACATGTTTTGAAGAACATATAGAAGCCATGTAGGATGATAATGGTTTGGCAGTAACATTCTCATAAATAACAAATCTCAATCCAATGGCACGGCCGGATCACCTTAATGGGCAAGAGAGTTCAAGTAGGCACCACTCGCCCAGGAAACCGTCAGGAAGGCGAAAAACATTCCTCGCCAAGCTGGCGTCACTATCATAAGATTTCATAGTGGATCGCCACCCCATGTGTAACTGTTAGTCACAGTCTACTCACATGTAAGAGATGGTTTCTCATTAATACATACGAAGAGCCGCGGTTTGGATCCATTTCATTTGCTGCTGACTGCCATCGCTTGGTGTCGTGGTGAATCTTGCAAGCATTTGCAAATGCCACCCATATCTGTGTCTCGGCCTGGAAAGGCATGGCGTCAAGAACATCCCAAGCGCACTCTAGATGCCCCGCGCGTCCAAAGCTGTCAACCACGCAGCAGTAGTGCTCTTGCCCGGGAAGAATCCCATAGTCCTGCTGCATGGATCTCAAGTAGTGGCAAACTCGCCAGAGTCCACCAAGCTGACTACATGCCGTGAGCAAGCTCACAAACGAGACCCCTCGCGGACAGAGGCCCTCGAGCTCCATGGATTGGAAGAGTGTAATTGTTTGTCCGGCAAGCCCCGCGTTGGCCAGAGCCGTGAGCATCGCGTTCCAGGACCACTCGTCTCGTTTCGGCATTATATCGAATAAAAGCCGGGCTTGGCGGACGCTGCTCTGTGCGTGCACTGCAATCAGCGTGTTCCAGGACACCACATTCGTCTCGGGCATGCTCTCAAACGCGGCCACTGCCTCGTCGACATGCCCTTGGTTAGCATTCACTGCGATCATGGAGTTCCAGGAGAGAGTGCTCCACTTTGGCATTCGATCAAAGACTTTCTTGGCTTGTTCTGTATGGCCATTGAGGCCAAAGGCTGCCACCATTGCATCGCACGACACAAGATCTCGATTGGGCATGGAGCAAAACATTTGTGTGGCGCGGTCGAGTGTCCCTGGGGATTGGGCGTAGCAAATCATCATCGACGTCCAAGTAACTGGATCCCATACGGGGATTTGAGAGAAGAGGTTCTCTACCTCTTGCGTCCCTCCGGCATGAGCGTAAGCCGTGATTACCGTGTTCCATGACACTCGGTCTCTTACAGGCATCGACTCAAACAGGCTCTTGGATCTTGCGAGGTTACCACTGCGAGCTGCCGCGGCGATGAGGGAGTTCCATGACACAACGTCCGGCTCTGGGATGGCCTGGAACAGATCCATGGCTGCCTGGAGCTGCCCTCTTTGAGCATATCCAGCAAGCATCGTGTTCCAGGAGTTCACAATAGTTTCTGACATCCTGCTCAACACCTCGAGGGCGTTATCTATCATTCCAAGCTGGGTGTATGCAGTGATCATCGCGTTCCAAGACACCACATTTCTCTCCGGCATGCTTGTAAAGATTTGGCTCGCATCTTGGACATGCCCGTCTTGGGCATATGCGCAAAGAAGAGACGTCCAAGAGATTACATTGGTCTCTGGCATTTTCCCCAGAAAATACTCTGCAGCATCTATATCCCCAGATTGTGCCAAGACCCCAACGATCATTGTCCAGGAAATCTCGCTGCGACATGGCATTACTTGAAACAGTGACTTTGCTAGCAAAACGTTCCCGCAATGGGCATATGCAGAAATAATCAGGTTCCAGGAGACAGCATTAGGCTTGTGAATCGAATTAAAGACGCGACGGGCCTCCTCCAGGCTCCCACATCGAGAATACATCTGGATCAAAAGATTGGAGAGATAAGTATGCTGGTGTGGGTTAACGAGATGCCGCTGGATGCAAGCGTGAATGGCGCGCGCCTCGCTCAGATCCTTCGCCGATCTCACTAGTGTCACGTAAAACGTGCTCTTACAAGACCCTGTCATCCATTACACTGGAGCAAACCCAGGAAACTTTGGCAGAGAATACCCGGAGTGGGCATCTGGAAACGCAAGCGTCCAGTTAAGAGCTGGTTTATCTTTGAAGATATTGGCTTACGTGGCATCCGGCGGGCCAATGGCAATGAGCCCCTTATCCACAAGGGATCCAATTGGTGGCGGGAGAAAGAGAGGGCTTTCTCCAATCGATCCATCCATCCGAGAGCAATGGCGGCCACAGCGGCAATGGTGTCCTCGGCGGCGGCATTGGCATCGTCGCGGAGCGGCGTCCATGGCGCCAGCCTCGTCTCGGCCAAGGCGCCCCTCCCCAAGGCGGTGGCGGCGAGGCAAAGCCTGAGCTGCAGCTGCTCCATGGCGGACGAGGAGGAGCAAGGAGTGTCGAGGAGACTGGCCTTGGCGCTGGCGGCCGGAGCTCTTGTGGCCACCGGCAAGGTGTCCACTGCGAGTGCGGCTTATGGCGAGGCGGGTAAGCCATTCTCCTCTTCCTTGCCATGGTTTTAGCTAGCAAGCTAATCCAATTGTCTCCTCGCTTTGCTCGAGCAGCCAATGTGTTTGGCTCGCCAAAGCAACAGTCGGGCTTCACCACCTTGACCGGCGATGGCTTCAAGCTGGACGTGCCCTCCAAGTGGAATCCCAGCAAAGAACTCGAGTTCCCTGGCACACTGCTGCGATACGAGGACAACTTCGACCAAAAATCCAACCTTGCAGTCATGGTCATCCCCACGGACAAGAAATCCATCACCGACTACGGATCGCCCGAGGAGTTTCTCAGTGCTGTAAGTATCAATCATCTCATGTCGATTCACTTGATTTCTTGCTTTCTTTTGCAGTATAGCTATCTCCTCGGCAAGCAGGCCTATGCTGGCAAGACCGTCTCAGAGGTATAGTTCATCTCATCCATGTCCATGAATCGAGCTCAAAGTTTTTCCGTGAATCCTGGCTGGCAGGGAGGATTTGATCCCAACGCCGTGGCCACTGCCGCGGTGCTACAATCCAAGACAAAAGACATCAATGGGAAGAAGTACTACGATCTGGATGTACTGACCAGAACAGCCGACGGTGACGAGGGTGGCACGCACCAGCTGATCGTTGCGTCCATCAACAATGGCAAGCTCTACTTGCTCAAGGCACAAGCGGGCGACAAGAGGTGGTTCAAGGGCGCGCAGAAGTTCGTCAAGGGTGTTGCCGAATCCTTCAGCTTGGCTTAGATATATATACCTTATAGCAAGCTCCACCACAAAGCTCTAAAACGTGAAAGAAAGCGAACCTTAAATTCATCGCTGATCGCTCTCGCTCTCGATAGAGGTGTACATTTTCTACGATGCTTGCGTGAATTTTATTCAAGGAACATCAGAAGAATTTAGTTTGGCGCGAACGATTACTCTCGAGAACTTTGTTGATCAAGTCTTTGATCTTCCGAGGCGATACGTTGAAAGCAGCGCGAGCGGCCTCTTTCACCTGGGCACCCTTCCTCCTCAAACACTCGCTCTCGTCAATGACCGCTCGAAAAGCTTGCTCGAAAGCAATTCTCGTGATCAAACCATCTTTTCCATCTTTCGCCAGCCCCACGCCAATCCCCAAGTGCTCCACGATAATCCGTGCGTTCCCTCGCTGCTCTCCATAAAATGGCATCGTGATCATCGGAACGCCCCGGCTTAAGCTCTCCATCGTTGAGTTCCATCCGCAGTGGGTCATGAAACCACCCACGGCCCTGTGCGACAGAACCAAGAGCTGTGGTGCCCATTTCCTCACCGCCATTCCTGTCTTGTTCGTCGTCGCCCGTTCCAGGAATCCTTCCGGAAGTAACTCCTCGGCACCATTGTTCAAAACCCACAGAAATCTCTTCTCGCTTGCTTCCAATCCAAGCGCAAGCTCTTCGATTTGTTTCCGGTTAGCGCGAGCGAAGCTTCCAAACGAGATGTACACGACGGACGCGGTGGGCTGCTCGTCCAGCCATGCCAAGCACTCGACTTTGTCATAGTCTTCACAAGCATTGTCCTCCGCGAAGTAAGAGTCTGGAAGCAAAGGCCCGATATCCACGAAAGGAACCTTGTTGGGATTTATCTGGGGGTTCTCGCTCACAGCGATGCATGCCTCCTCCTCGATCGCAGCAAACGTGTTGCACATCACTCCAGCTGCCTCGTGAGCTCGAACAGCGTTTGTCACGTAGAAATCCCGCATGACTTTGGGGACTGTCTCTAAGATCAAGTCGATAACTTGGTCGCTCGAGAGTGGCGAGAGTCCAGCCGAATCTATCCCGGGTATTCGCACCAGCTCTTGAACTCGTACAGGAAGCTTGTTCTGGTGTAGCATATTCTTGACGTAGAAATGGAAGGCTAGTGCCATTCCCGGCGATGGGTAGAAGATAATCCTGGGAATGTTGAGCTCGTCTGCTACGTCTTGGGCCCAGGAAGCAAGCAAGTTGTCCGTGATGATGCAACTTATAGGAGGATTGGCAGCACTAATGAGCTCCTTAAGTTCTACTCCATCTTCGGGATGGAATCCAAAGGCCCAGCCCATGAGCTCCATCGAGTCGTGCCCTGAGCTCGATTCCTGCTGCTCTTTGGAAGGGAAGTTCTTCTTGAGCGTCTGGAACTTGATGTGTGGGTTGCATGCTCGTGCTTTGGCCTCTCTCTTCACTTGTTCAAGCCTAAAATCATGACAAACGTAGCTTACCTCGAAACCAAGGCCGGCTAGCCTGCTCGCGAGCACCAAAGCTGGGATCATATGCCCTTGAGCTGAATAAGGAACCACCATCAAGCGAGGGACCTCCTCCTCCATTATTGATCACTCTCCTTGGTACCCTGGACTTCCTTCTAGACAGGCCTTGAAACAAATGGTGCCAAAATGATCACTGTTGTTCCTGCAAAAATGAAGCAGCATAGCTCGCTCGTAGCATCGACAAACACGCTAAAACGAATCTTAAGACAGAGCATAAAAAACAAAACAAATACTATTGGTGAGGATTGGCTTGTTAGCTTATGCCAGTTGTCCATCATACTCGATACTGATAACCACTTCTAACTCGTCATTGTTACACGACACACCTCACCACATAGACATTAGGGTTTTCCTGTTGTGTCTGTTAGTGCAGTGCGCTTTGATCCCGATTTGTCTCATGGTATCACAGCTAGGATAGCATTATGGAAGGAAAGCCATCCATCCACAAGTTTGATGGAGAAGGGTTTGAACGATTCAAGATCCATTTTGAATCCTACCTCTTGTTTCATGGTTTGTTGGGGATTGGAGATGGGACAGAGCCATCACCGGCTCCAGGCTTTAGTGCTGTTGAGGTGCGTGGTTAGAACCTTTTGGGATTCCAAGGCTAGAGGGAGTATTGTGATGTGCTTGTCCTTGAATGTTCTCTTTGCTACTCCATCAATTCGGAAGTCCACTGTGGTAGTGCTCTAGACATGGTTGAGCAACACCTACAACACCAAGAGTGAAATGGATGTTTTCAACTTCCATTCACAAATGGATTCCTTGAGGCTAGAGGAAAATGGCAATATCCAGACTCACACTGCCAAGCTCCAAGTCTTCTTCACACAATTTGCGGCTGCTGGGGCAAAGCACTATCTCACGGATGAGCAGCAGAGGCTACAGCTCTATAGGTCCTTGCCAGCTAATTGGAAGAATGCAGTTGAGAGCCTACTTCTCCAACCAAGGATGACTTGGGCAGATGCCATAAGGAGTTTTCACAACATTGAGGCCATGTGAAGTGAGAGAGTAGAAATACCATAAACTATGTATGCTTTGCAAGCTTCTGGTGATGCCAAGGTGGCAAAATTGCATACAGCTGCAAATGCCAGGAACCAATGCACTTGCTGTTTGGAGATGGGCCATTGGGCTCAAGATTGCACTACTACAAAGCCTGTCAAGTGACTAGCTATAATGGCAAAAAGCCAATTTGCTCGAGGGTGATAGAATTAGTACAACAAATGAGGCTATTGAGGAGCTCTACAATGTAGAGGCAGTTGCAGCACCAAGTAAGTGGCTTTTAGACTCTGGTTGTACTAATCTTATGGGCAATAAGAAGAGTCTTTTTAAGTGTTATCAATTGAGCATTGGAAAATGTGGTGTTCATTTAAATGATAATTCACTATCCCCGTGGAAGGCATTGGGCAATTTTGGCGACCATAGCATTTAATGGTGCTATGCATATCTCCACCTTGCGATGAAATTTAATATCCATTGCCAAGATATGTGATCAAAATGCAATGGTAGTCTTTGATGTAAAGGGAGTCTCTTTTGTTGACTCTAGCAACTTTCACATGCTTGGTACACAGTTGCTTTGTGGGTCACATATTAGGGACTTGTATGAAATCATTGCTGTTGACCAAGTTTAAACCTTTCAAACTGTGGAGGCAAATTCTTGTGTAGAGCTTTGGCACAAGAGACTTGGTCATGTCTATTACCAATCTCTTCAACGGATGAAATCCTAAGATATTGTTACTAAATTTGATTTTCAACATATCCCATTTACATTTTGTGAAGCTTACATTTTAAGCAAGCATCACTGCACAATTGGACTTTTGGACTTGGTCCATTCTGATCTTTGTGGCCCTATAGATGTGCCAAGCCACGATGGTACAAGATATTTCATTACAATCATTAATGACTATAGCTGTTGGATATGCATCCACTTCTTGATGCATAAGAGTGATGTAGTTGCTGCATTTCAAATGTACAAAACTTATATTGAAAATTTCCTTGGTCGAAAGATAAAAGTTTTTTAAGTTGTTGGTGGTGGTGAATACCTTAACAATGAGCTTTAGGGCATCTGTCATGATATAAGCATACAATTGCAAGCCACAATCTGCTACACCCCCCAGTAAAATGGTGTTGCAAAAAGGAAGAATCACACTTTTGTCAATGTTACTTACACCTTGTTGTTTGATGCATATCTTGACAAGATGTTTTGGCAAAAGGCTATAGCTATAGCAATGCATATCCAAAATTGCCTTGCCACAATTGCTTTGGATGGAAAAACCCTTAATGCATTTTGGATGGGTTCTACTCCTGATGTATCCCACTTTTAGGTCTTTAGTTGTGTAGTATATGTGCTACCCATGATTTACTTTAAAAAAGCTAGATCCCAATAGTAAAAAATTTATCTTCATAGGATATACACAAGACTACACCATTGGGAGAAAAGCTTACAAGTTGTGGGATCTTGCATCTCACAAAGCCCTTGTAAGCATAGATGTCATGTTCAACGAGGATAACTTTCCCATGCGTATAAAGGCTCTTCAAGATCCTTCTTTCATTGCTAAGACTTGGCTCATTCCTTTGATCTCATTTATGGGATATGGTCCACTCTTGCCTCTGCCTTTAGATCTTATTCATGAGTTACCATTAGAGATTCCACTCGGGAATCCTCCACTTCTAGACATGCTTGAACTAGCTGATGCTCCTCTAGTCAAGGACAGGCCTTCGACACCTCCACCACCTTGTCGACGTTGTGGCATGCTTGACCCAATACTAGTTCTTGATCACCCCCAAGAATGTTGGCCCTTATTGAAAGTCCAAGAAAATGCTAAAGCAAATGGTGTAGAGCTTGATGACTTTTATAGTTGACATTGGCATCCCCATGACCTATGATGAGGCCGTCTCAAGATTTGAGGCTCCATCTTGGATGGAAGCCATTGCGGAAGAAGTTGCTTCCATTTAGGTTAATGAAACTTATGTTCCAATTGATTCAACACCACCAGAATGACATATTTTGGATCCAAAATGGATTTTTTCCAAAAAGTATAGGAAAGATGGTCAAATTGTACATTATAAGGCACAGTTGGTTGTTCATGGATTTTGCCAAGTCTATGGCCTTGACTACGATAAAACATTCTCACTGGTTGTAAAAATGGCCAACCTCCATACCCTTTTTGCACTTGTGGCTGCTCCCAAATGGTAAGTCCACCATATAGATGCCAAAAGAGCATTTTTGAATGGGGATTTGCAAGAGGACATCTACATGCATATACTTCTTGGTTTTGAGGATGATATTGCCCATGGCTCTATATGGCAATTGTGGAAAGCTTTATATGGCCTCAAACAAAGTTCCTATATTTGGTATCAAAAATTTTATGCCACCCTTCCGTGCTCAGGGCTTTTGTCGCTACCACAATGTGTATGTGAATGGTCATGCTTATTGTGGCCCTCTATATTGATGATTTGCTCATCATGGGTGATGACACTAATGTCATTGCTGCTCTAAAAGCTGCTCTCAACCAGCAATTCCAGATGAAGGACTTTGGCCAAGTCTTCTACTTTCTTGGCTTTGAGGTCACACACAATCTTGAGTCTGGTGGCTACATGCTTAACCAACAACGTAAGATCAAATTTTTGCTAGATTGGTTTGG